TCTGTGTGCCTGATAGTCATGCCCGGATACACCCATGCACATGTCCCAACAAGAGGCTGCCCGTGGGAGATACATACATGATGTGGTGGCATCAAGCAGTGGACATACCTGGGCATGGTCCTTAAACGTATGTACCTGCTCGCTGTTCCTGCCACGACCTGTTTTTCCTCTGAACTTTCCAGGGTGGTAGTGTGGCATAGAAGGAAGGCCATGAGGGATAATCTTGTTCTGGGAGATCCCCGGAATTGATAGGAGCCCTTGATATGTGTGATGGCTCCTGATGTGCCAGCGATTCCCTCAGATGGTAAGTGTCCACTCTTCAAAGCTCCTTGGCAGCTCCTCCTCCAGGGACAAGACTGTGTGCATGGATCGATGATGATCTATATATACATTCCTTGAAAGCTGAACAAAATGAGTGAAACTCTACATCATTATCCTCGCGAACTGAGGTCCAGCACGTTGCTGTTACAGGGGCTAGAGAGAGAGGGACAAATTTAATTTGATGATGCCTACTGTAACAAGGAGTCCATCCAGTTAGATGGGGTCTCATTTGGGTAACAGGAGGATTTGGCAGGGGGAGTGGAGGCTGCTAAAGGCCATGTGACATTCCTCTTGCTGAAGGACTCCAGGAGGCCAGGTACGCTGTTGGCCACGCCTGCTTCTGCAGGTTGTGTGGAATGTGTAGGTTACCCTTATGGAAGAGAAGTTAGCCCACAGCCTGCCTCTGCATGGCAGTTTGTCCTGGGTCCTGGCCTCTGGCTTCAATGTTCTGTGAGGGGCTGAGGTGTGATTGCACTTAGAAAACAGAGGCGGGGAAGTTTACCTCCTTTTGTTGTTTTTCTGTTTCATTTCATCCTTCACTGAGGACAGTGAAGTTGTGGTCAGCAGGCAGCGATTCAGGCCAGCGTGCCCATGCTGGGTGTCCCATGTGTTGTGAGCACATGCATGTGGCAGGAACATGCAGAGGCTCCCACTCCAAGCTGAGCTCTGATAGGCAGTGAGGCTCTGGCTTATCCTGATCCCGTGTAGGCCGTGCCTTCCTGGGCCAGGATTGCATGGCTCCGAGGCTATTGTGGAGGTGCATTGCAGGGTGTGAGAAAGCAAAGGGGTGTTGGAGAGGGATGCTCAACATTAAAGTGCTCTTAGCGGATGATGCCATAGGCAATTCCTGACCTGCATATGCAACCCCATGTACATGCATTTCTGTGTCCGTAATAGTTGGAAGCCGCAGAGACAGTGGTGATTCCAGAGTGTGTATCGCAGGGGGGCTGGATGACATGGCCCTTGTCACCTGTGTACCTGTCTGCCTTTCTGAAGCATGCCTGTGTTTCCTCTTACACCTCCAGGTAGCACTGGCATGGAAGGCAGGCCCGTGTGCTGGGCAGACAATTGTTATCTCATGTGATCTGCGGAGATGTACTCCAGGAAGCCTGACACACGGCAAAGGCTCCTTTGGAAGTTGTTGATCCCTTCTGGAATGGGCAGCTCCTTTCCCAGAACACTCTGATTTTCTCATTTACAGGACAAACACTGTGCATGGATCGATGATGACTCCACATAAAGTACATTTCCTTGGAAAGCTGAACAAAAATGAGTGAGAAACTCTATACCGTCATCCTTTTTGTCCGGAGGTCCAGCACATTACTCCAATAGGGCTAGACAGAGCGCCAACATTCGCTTGTTGATATGGTTGCACCAAGGGAACCATCCAGGCTTAGATGTGGGGTCCTTTGGGCAGTTGGGAAGTCACAGGGAAGTAGGTGCTCCCATGCACAGGGAAATTCCTTGTCTGAAGGCATTTTTTTCTCCCTGGGGCGTGGGGATAACTTAACGTACTGTCTTCGAAGGACTAGGAATACCTGTGGGAGGTGGGCAGGAAGAGAGGCTTGTGTGTGTAGCCTGCCTCTGGTGGCCAAATTTGTTCTTGAGTCCAAGCTCTGGATTCCCAGAGGAAGCCAGAGGAAGACAGATCCTCTGGCTGTGGGGAAAGAGAACAAGGCTTCACCATTCTCATTTGTTAGCTCATTTGTCCTTGGCGTGGACGTTGTATTTCCAGGCACTCAGCGTAGCCTCTCTTGCCACATGCCCCTGTCATATCCCATGTTATGAGGGATTTATGTGTTGCCTGATCAGGTGCCCTCCTGCTCCAAGCCGGAGCTGTCAGGCAAGGAGCCCTGGGTTATTCCAAACCTGATTTAGGTCAGTGTCTTCCCTTTGGGGTTCGTGGGTCTCCAAGGCTTTTGTGAACGCCTATTGCGTGGATGTTGAAGCAATGATGTTGAGAGTGCATGCTCAACGTCACATTTCCAAAGGGATGGTGGACCCCCCGAAGGGTCCTCCAGCCTAGATGAGCATCCCCCGGTGTCCATGCATTTCTGCGTCCGTGAACACAGTGGAGGCCAGAGACAGGCAGATAGCAGATGTATCTCAGGGACACTGTGGATGGCCATGGGTTTCCCCAGGACCAGTAATCTGTTCGTTTTCTGAAGCACGCCTGTGTTCCCCTCTGCACTTTCTATGTGGTGTTGGCGCCAAGGCAGGCTCGCAGATTGTAGCTGAGGAATGCAGATTGTCATCTCGTATGATCCTTGGAGATGGCAGGAAGCCCCTGGACACACATGGTGTGGACTCCTTCAGAGGCTGTTGAAACGCCCTTAATGTAAGTGATTCCATCCCAAAGCACTCTTGAGTTTCTTCATTTGTGGATGAAACCTCCGTGCTTGGATCGATGATGACTTGCATATACAGATTCCTTGAAAGCTGAACAAAAATGAGTGAAAACTCTATACCGTCATCCTCATCGAACTGAGGTCCAGCCCGTTACCCAAACTAGGACTAGACAGACAGAAATAACATCCTATTGTTGACATGGGTTATGCCTGGGATATGTATCTGTTCAGGCTTAGGATGGGGTCTCTTTGCGGGTGAGGTGCGGGGTCACAGGAGTGGTGGCTGTCACGCATAGGAAATTTCTTGTTTGAAGGACTTTGTCAGTGAGGGTGGGTAACACATGCATTGTTTGTAGGACTGGATGAATGTCCATGTGGCCTAGCAAGAGTTAGCTGGCAGCCTACTCTGGTTGCTAGTTTGTTGCTGAGTCTTTTTGTTCTGGGCTCTCGTGAACCCTGGAGGAAAACAGATCTGTCTAGTTGGGAGGAGGGTAAGCAAAGGCCGCATCTTTGTCATTTGTTGGCTAACTTTGTCCTTGCTGAGGACATTAGAGTTTCTAATACCGGGCATAGCCTGTGTGCCTGTGTTGCCCGTGTTATATCCTGTGTGTGATTTGGGGAGAAGGTATTTCGCATGAACAGGTAGCCCTGCCCAGTAAGCTGGTTCTTGATAATTGAGATTTGCTTCCTAAACCCGGTAGAGGCAGTTTCCTCCTTAGGGGTTCATAGTCCCAAAACTTTAGAGTGGTAGGGCAGGCATTGAAGCAGTGATGAGAGGTATGGCTACCGCCGTGCTCTTTAGCAGCATGGTGCACTGCAGGCCTCCAGCCCCGTGATGAGCATCTCCCTCACATCTGTGTACTTCTGCGTCTAGGGAGGCAGAACAAGGAGGCGTGATAAACGAGATAGCAGATGTATCCCAGGACACTGGATAACATGGTCTCAGGTGATCTGTGTGCTGTGCACTATCTGCCTTCTGAAGCACGCCTGTGTTTCCTCCTGCACTCGCAGATGGTGGTTAAGGGCCAGCAGGCTCGTATCATGAGGAATGATTGTCATCTCCTATGATACTTGGAGATAGCAGGAGCCCCCTGCACATACGCATGGTGTGGACTCCTTCAGAGGCTATGGAACCTTCCTTAATGTAAAAGATTCATTCAAAGCACTCTGAGTTTCTTCATTTGCAGGGATGAAACCTGTGCTTGGATCGATGATGACTTACATATACACCTTTGAAAGCTGAACAAAAAAACAATGAGTGGAAATCATTATCCTCATCGAACTGAGGTCCAGCATGTTGCTGTTACAGGGGCTAGAGAGAGAGGGACAAATTTATCGATGATGCCTACTGCACTGCTGAGTCCATCCAGGGTTAGGATGGGGTCTCCCCACTTGGGTAATAGAGATTGGCAGGGGAGTGGAGGCTATGTACACAGGACATTCCTTGTCGAAGGACTTCCGTGAGGTCAGGGTACCACACATGCTGTCTGCAGGAGTAGGTGAATGTGTAGGTTGCCCAGGAAGAGTTAGCCCACAGCCTGCTCCTCATGGCAGTTTGTTCTGGGTCCTGGTCTGGGTTTCTATGTTCCGTGAGGAAGACAGGTATTGCACTTTAGAAAACAGAGCATAGTGCCAGACTTTGTTGTTTTCTGTTCATTTCATCCTTCACTGAGGACAGCATGTTGTGGTCAGCAGGCATAGCATCTGGTGGCCAGCGTGCCCATGTTGTGTCCTGATGTGTTGTGAGCACATGGCCGTGGCATGCAAACATGTAGGCTCCCACTCCAAGCTGAGTCTGATAGGCAGTGAGGCTCTGGCTTATCCTGATCCCGGTGTAGGTCAAAGCCTTCCCATTAGGATTGCATGGCCCCGAGGCTATTGTGAGGTGCATTGCAGGTGTGAGCAAGGTGTGGTTGTGGAGAGGGATGCTCAACATTAGTGCTCTTTAGCGGGATGATGCTATGGGCACTTGACCCAGACATGCATCCCCATGTACATGCATTTCTGTGTCCGTGAATAGTTGAAGCCAGAGACAGGCAGATTCCAGATGTATCGCAGGGGGCTGGTTTGCTTACGGCTCTTGTCACCTGTGTACCTGTCTGCCTTTCTGAAGCATGCTCGTTTCCTCTACACCTCCTGGTAGCACTGGCATGGAAGGCAGGCCCGTGTTGGCGAGGGACAATTGTTATCTCATGTGATCTGCGGAGATACCAGGTAAAGCCCCCTGGACACAATGGCAAAGTGCCTTGAAGTTGTTGGATCCTTCTGAATGTAAGCAGTTCTTTCCCAGAACATCTCCTGATTTTCCTCGCCAGGACAAACACTGTGCATGGATCGAAGCGATGACTTCATACATTCCTTGGAAGCTGAACAAATGAGTGAAAAACTCTACACCGCTATCCTCGCCGAACTGAGGTCCAAAGCACATTACTCCAATAGGGCTAGACAGAGAGGGCCAACATTCGCTTGTTGGATATGGGTTGCACCAAGGGGTCCAGATCCAGGCTTAGGATGGGGTCCCTTTTTGGGTAGCTGGAAGTCACAGGGAAGTAGGGTGTGCCCCCATGCACAGGAAATTCCCTTGTCTGAAGGCTTCTTCTCCTGGGCGGGATAACTAACGTACTGTCTGGAAGGACTAGGTGAATGGAGTGGCATGGGAAGAGTTTGTGTGTAGCCCGCTCTGGTGGCCAAATTTGTTCTTTGAGTCCCAAAGTCAGATTCCTATGAGGAAGCCAGAGGAAGACAGATCCTCTGGTTGTGGGGAGAGAACAAGGCTTCACCATTCTCATTTGTTAGCTCATTTTCTTGTCCTTGGCGTGACGTTGTATTTCCAGGCACTCAGCGTGAGCCTCCCTTTTTTTTGCCATGCTGCCCTGTCATATCCTATATGTTATGTGAGGATTTATGTGTTAGCTCGATCAGGCAGTCTTCTGCTCCAAGCTGGAGCTGTCAGGTGTAAGGAGTCTCGGGGTTATTCCAAACCTGATGACTTAGGTCAGTGTCTTCTTCCTTTGGGTTCGTGGGTCCCAAGGCCTTCGTGAACGCCATTGCGGATGTTGAAGTGGCAATGCATGTTGAGAGGTATGCTCAACGCCAGGCTCTGTAGCGGATGGTGGACCCTTGAGGTCCTCCAGCCCCAGATGAGCATCCCCGTGTCCATGCATTTGCGCTCCCGTGAACACGTGGGAGGCCAGAGACAGCAGATAGCAGATGTATCCTGGTGACACTGATAACATGGCCCTGTGACCTGTGCACCTGTCTGCCTTCTGAAGCACTGTGTTTCCTCTGCACTTCGCAGGTGGTGTTGGCGCTAAGGCAGGTCGTATCATGAGGAATGATTGTCATCTCGTGATGATCCTTGGAGAGATGGCAGGAAGCCCTGACACATGGTGTGGACTCTTCAGGCTGTTGGAAATGCTTCCTTACCGGTGATTCCATCCCAAAGCACTCTTATTTCTTCATTTGTAGGATGAACCTGTGCTTGGATCGATGATGACTTCCATATATACATTCCTGGAAAGCTGGAATAAAAATGAGTGAAAATCCTATACCGCCATCCTCATCGAACTGAGGTCCAGCCCACACCCAACCAGGGACTAGGGATAAGCAGACAGGGCCAACATCCGTTTGTTGACATGGGTTATACCAAGGGGTCTGTTCAGGCTTAGGATGGGGTCTTTTATGGGTGAGTGGGGTCACAGGAGTGGTGGCTGTCACGCATAGGAAATTTCTTGTTTGAAGGACTTTGTCAGTGAGGGTGGGTAACACATGCATTGTCTGTAGGACTGGATGAATGTCCATGTGGCTTCAGCAAGAGTTAGCTGGCAGCCTACTCTGGTTGCTAGTTTGTTGTTGAGTCTTTGTTCTGGGTTCTCAGGTCCTCTGGAAGAAACAGATCTGTCTAGTTGGGAGGAGGGCAAGAAAGTGCCGCATCTTTGTCATTTGTTGGGCCAACTTTGTCCTTGGTTGAGGACATTAGAAGCCAGTCACTGCACAGCCTATGTGCCTGTGTGCCCGTGTTATATCCTGTGTGATTTGGGGGAATGTATTTCGCACTAATAGGTGAACTCCCTGCTCCAAGCTGGTTCTGATACTCCGAGGAGCCTCTTGCTTCTCCTAACCCGTAGAGGTTAAAGCCTTCCTTAGGGGTTCGCCATGATCCCAAGCTTGGGTGAGTGGCATGGCAGGCATTGAAGCAGTGATGTTGAGAGGTATGGCTCAATGCCATGTGTTTCTAGCATGGTGCACTGCAGGGCCTCCAGCCCTAGATACATCCCCTACATCCGTGCATTTTGCGTCCATGGAACAAAGGCAGTGGAGGCCAGAGAACGCAGATATAGCAGATGAATCCCGGACACTGGATAACATGGCCCTGTGACCTGTGCACTTATCTGCCTTTCTGAAGCATCGCCAGTGTGTTTCTCTGTACTTCGCAGATGGTGTGTTGGCATCAAGGCAGGCTCGTGGGACGCGAGGTGGAAATGATTGTCATCTCCTCAGAGCAGATGCTTGGAAAATGGCAGGAAGCCCCCCCTGTGGACACATGTGGTGTGGACTCCTCTTCAGAGGCTGTTGAAAACTTCCTAATGTGTTGATTCCATCCTGAAAGCACTCTTGAGTTTCTTCATTTGCAGGGATGAAACCTGCTTGGATCGATGATGAGACTTCCATATATACATTTCTCCTTGGAAAGCTGAACAAATGCAGTGGAGTGAAAACTCTATATCGTCATCCTCGTCGAACTGAGGTCCAGCACATTACTCCAACAGGGACTAGACAGAGAGGGCCAACATCCGTTTGTTGACAAGGGTTATACCAAGGGGTCTGTTTAGCCTTAACATGGGGTCTTTTATGGTTGAATACACACAGGAGAGTGGTGGCTCCCACGCACAGGAAATTTCTTGTTTGAAGGACTCTGTCAGTGAGGGTGGGTAACACATGTATTGTCTGTAGGACTAAGTGAATGTCCATGTGGCCTAGCAAGAGTTAGCTGGCAGCCCACCTCTGGTTGCCAATTTGTTCTTGAGTCCTTGTTCTGAGTTCTCAGGTCCCCTGAAAGAAGACAGTCTGTCTGGTTGGGAGGAGAATACAAGGCCACATCTTTGTCATTTGTTGGCTAACTTTGTCCTTGATTGAGGACATTAGAGTTTTGGTCACCGGGCATAGCCTCTTTGCCCATGTTGTATCCTGTGTCTTTGGGGGACATGTACATTGCATGAACAAGTGAGCTCCCGCTCATTGGTTCTGATACTCGAGGAGCCTCTGGCTTATCTTAAACCCAATATAGATATAGGTGAAAGCCTTTCTCATTAAAGGTCGAGGGCCCCAAGGCTTTGTGAGCATCATTGTAGGTATTGAAGCAACAATATTGAGAAGGATGCTAAACATGCTCTTTAGTGGGATGATGTACTCTGAAGGCACCTGACCCCCAGACGAGCATCCCTGTGTCCATGCTTTTCTGTGTTTATGAACAGGTGAGGCCAGAGACAGGCGGACAGCAAATGTATCGCAACGGGCTGGATGACATGGCCCTTGGAACCTGTGCACATGCCTGCCTTTCTGATGCACGTCCGTGTTTTCTCTGCACCTCCCCAGTGGTGTTCGTGTAAAAAGCAGGCTCATGTTAGCAAGGAATGATTGTCATCTCATGTGATCCTGCGAGATGGCAGAAGTCCGGGGCCACATGGAGTGTGGGCTCCTTCGGAGGCTGATGGAACCCTCCTGAATGTAAGTGATTCCCTCCTAAAGCATGCTGATTTTCCTCATTTGCAGGGGCAAAGACTGGATCGATGATGACTTCCATATACACATTCCTTGGAAAGCTGAACAAAATGAGTGAAAACTCTATACCGTCATCCTCGTCGAACTGAGGTCCAGCACACTGCTCCATCGGGGGCTGGAGAGAGGGACCACGTCCATTTGTTGACACAGGCTGTGTCAACACTTGGGATGGGGTCGTCTTTGGGTGAAGTGGAGTAGCTGGGCATTTTGGACTTCCGTGGCTGAGAGACGGCTTGGTTGAAGCACTTCCCTCTGTGTGGCTGTGTGTGTCCTTGATTCATACTCCTTGGCTCCTGCCCTCCCCCGAGGAAGACAGTGGCTTCTGCATGGGCAGACAGCACAGTGTTGTTTCTGGGCACTTCTTTGGTTCACTTTCACCCTCATTTGGAGACGTGGGACTTCCCCTGGTGTTTGGGTAGCAGTGGGGGCAGCCAGTCCTCAGGAGGATGGCGATGCTGATTTGCCTTCTGCAGAGGAGCCCAGAGCGGGTGTCTGTGTTGAACTTATATGTCCCTAGGAGGAAACCAGTCCCATCACCCCTGAAGGGTCTTGGCAGTGGGAAGGGGAGAGGCCTGCATGTGCGTTTACTGGACAGCATTCCATGTGGGTCGTGGAGTGATGACTGTGGGCCTCTTTCAGACATTGTAGGGTGCACACGTTTCGTTTCATGATGACCTCAGGGTGCTGGGACAGGAATGTGATTGCAGGTCCACGTGCTTCTGCAACTCCTCAGACTGACTTGGTCTGTGTTCAGGACCCTCTGTGAGATGCTTGTCTCCATTAGGCATTTGAGCTTATATTGGCCCAGGGTTTCTACCCATCCTAGGTTGTGCATACTTTGCCTCTGAACCACTCAGGCACCTCAATGCAGTCAACGTGCCTGATTGTAAGAGTGTGACTTCCCGTATCCTAGAGATCTCTACTCCTTGGTGGTCCAGGAAGGTCTCTGTGCTTAAATACCGTAGTGGCTCGTGATGTTAGGTTATTTTCTAATTTCTCCTCATGCTTACCAGCAGTCTTCTTTGTGAAATAGTCATCTTGTTGTAGGACAGGGCTAGTGTCCATAGGCAGTGATGCATAGGTTTTAGACTGTGTGGCCATGTTCACAGGAAAGTGCCTTAAAATGTGTGGTGTTCTCAGCCACAGTGCCTTAGAAGCCCTGTGGGAGTCAGTGTGTCTGGTGCTCCTCTGGATCCCTGAGCTGCACCTGTGAGGAAGACACTGAGGTAGAGATTAAGTTGTTATTGAACGTTCTTCTCAATATGAAAAGTGTTGAAGTAGCCCAGGGTGAAAAGTCTTCAAGACTGAAGGAAAATTGCCTTTTGTACTGGAAGAGTTTTTCCCCGAAACTCTCCTTATTTAAATAGCCCTGTGGCCTTTGTCTTCTCTGATGACCAAGAGGAGGGCATTTGAGTCAGTGGTGGCAAATGAGTGGTTTTGAGCGAGTTCTTACACTTAGGGCTCTGTAGCTTGATAGTGCCTTCAAAATTAACACATGCCTGATATCTCCGTTCCTGGGTAGACCCATACACCCATCCCAAAAGGGCAGTAGCCTGTGGGAAGTACATATGGGATACACCACAGTAAATTGAATGGCCTGGCCCTTTTGACATGTGTGCCTGCCTGCCGTTCTGAAGAACACCTGTTTTTCCTCTGCACTTCCCAGGAGTTGTGGCAATGGAAGTAAGGCCAGTGGCTACGAGGGACAGTCTTCATCTTGGAAGATCCATCGAGATGGCAGGGAGCCCCTTGACATGTGGAATGTGGTCTCCTTTGGTGCTGGTGGATCCCACAGGTTGGTAAATGTCCATTTTCCAAAAGCCCCTGATGTTCCTTCTTTGTAGGGATAAAGACTGTGCATGGATCGATGATGACCTCAATACATGCATTCCTTGGAAAGCTGAACAAAATGAGTGAAAACTCTATACCGTCGTCCTCATCAAACTGAGGTCCAGCACATGGCTCCACCTGGGGCTGGAGAGAGGGACAACTTCCATTTATTGATGCAGGTAGCACTAAGCCATCCATCCAGGCTTAGGATGGGGTCCACTTTGGATCATAGGGAGTCATGGGGCAGTAGGCGCTCCTGTGCAGAGGAGATTCCTTGTGTGAAGGCCTCTCTGTGAGGCTGGGGCAGCATACACACTGTCTGCAGGACTAGGGTAATGTGCAGGTGGCACAGAAGAGTTAGCCGGTAACCCGCCACTGTGTGGCCAGGTTTGTCCTTGAGTGCTGGCTCTGGGTTCCCTTGTCCCCCAGAGGTAGCTCCTTGTGGTTGGGAAGAGCCCAAGGCCACATCCTTGCCGTTCTTTGGCTCATTTTTCTCATGACTGAGGACTTTTTAGTGCCCGTGGTGTTTTTGTAGCAGCAGTGGAAGTTAGTTGTGAAGAGGTTAGTGGTTCTTATTCTCTTTCTGGAGAATATCCTGTGGATTGGCTCCATGAATGATTTGTGTGTCCTCCAGAGAAACTGAAATCCCATGGCCAGCGATGGTTACTCCAGGTGGGAATGAGAAGGCGCCATGCATGTATTGACTTGGTACCCTAAGACGGGGATGGTCAGCCACATTTGCGAGTGTGTACTGCACATCACAAATGCCATGTTGGCTTTGGGGTGCTGGGAATGGAATATGATCTGATGTCCACATGGGAGGGCCTTTCCGCAGATTGCTTTTGTTTCCTGGCAGTCTTTGTTCCGTCCCCAGTCACATGTTTTTCTCCAGGGAACATTTTATTGGAGTATATCGGGTCAATATCAGAAAAAAAAATGTTGTGGTTATCCCAGCATTAAGTGTGGTGATGTAACAGCAGTGTGGATAGTAGCTCAAGTGAACAGCAGCAAAACCAAAATATATTGGTGTATGTAAGTGGCCCTCTTCTCTCCTACCTATTAAGTCTGGTGTCAGTCTCTTCTTTCTGCAGTAATCTCAGTGATCCAGAAACTTTCAGAAGGTCTTTTTTTGATATTTCGTGTCCTTGTGGTTGTACTAGTACTCCCTGCAGGGCTAAGTCTGGGCCATTCTGCTTTCCTAGTGCTACTGGAGTTTCCACTGTTTTGGGGGCACTGTTTGGTCATTGTGGACACCTCTCTTGGGGCTCTTTAACAAGAAGTACGTTAGGGGTCAGGTTTGGGGCAGTGTTGACCCCCTGCCTAAGGTCAAAGGCAGTTTTCTTCCTAAATCGTATTGCAGGATTGACTGCCCAGGGGTTGTGTGACAAAATTAGGGTATCCCATGTGGACCTGTGTCCAATATCAAGGCAGTGTTGGATAATTTTCTGTATCTGCAAGGCTCCCATTGGACCCTTTATGTCCAGCAGACATTCACAGGCCAACTTTTCCCTTACACAGGGGCCCTCATTCCTGCCATGCAGAGCTTCCGTGAAACCATCATTCAGGTTTTAAGTGCAAGGATTTCTCTCGAGAGTTTTAATTTGTTTCTTTAACACACCATTTTCTTTTCTATAAATTCTGCTTTCTAGCAGAAAACAGATTGTGGTTTGTAGCACAGATGAAATTGTCAGGTCATAGTCTACTTTTCTGCCCCATCTTGGATTAGTGAGCCTTTGAAATATGTTCCTTGATCACTGGCAATGGTTCTTGGAATACCAGACCTTAGTTACAAGCATTGCAGACCTACAAAGGTTTGTAGTTATTTTTAACTGTGTGAAGCAATGGATTTGTTTGTATCTTGTCACTCATGGCTGTCAGCACAATTTAGGTGTTACTAAACCGGACCACACCCACAAATTATAGTGCCTCTCGTTCCTTCCGTAGTAGCCTGTGGGAAGTAGGTACAGGATGCACCACAACGGAATGAATGGCATGGCCCTTGAGACCTGTGTACCTGCTTGCCTTTCTCAAGCACACCTGTTTTGCCTCTTAATTCCTAGGTGGTCTGGCATGGAAGAAGACCACAGGCTACGATGGATGATCTTTGTCTTGGGGGATTCCTGGAGATGGTGGGGAGCCCCTGAGCACGTGCGGCACATGTGGCGTGGGCTTCTTCAGAAGCTGGTGGACCCCTCAGGATGGTAAATGTCCATTTTCCAAAACCTTTTGATATTCCATCTTTGTAGGTACAAAGACTGTGCATGGATCAATGATGACCTTTATATATGCATTCCTTTGAAAGCTGAACAAAATGAGTGAAAACTCTATACTGTCATCCTCATTGAACTGAGGTCTGGCACATTGCTCCAACAGAGGGTAGATAGAGAGGGAACACTTCCATTTGTTGACGAAGGTTACTTTGAGGAGTTTGTCCAGCCTTAGGATGGGGTCCCCTTTGGGCAAAGGGAGTCGCAGGGGAGTGCGGCCTCCTGTGCACAGAAGATTCCTTGTGTGAAGGATTTTTCTCTGTGAGGGCAGGGTAGCACACATAGTGTATGCAGGAGCAGGTGAATGTGCCTGTGGCACAGGAAGAGTTAGCTGGTAGCCTGTCTCTGCATGGCCAGGTTTGACTTGTCCTAGCTCTGCATTCCCTCATCCTTAGAGGAAGTCGGTTTCTTCAGAAGACTTAAATTTGTGGAATTTAGTAGAATATTATCCACGTAATGTTCCCAGTGAATGCTAGGCATATCACCCAAGATGGCCAGGCTTCTGGCCATAAACCATAGTAAGTAGTAGGGTGTGCATATATCCATGAGGGAGAACCTGAAAGGCCCTTTTTTGGCCCTCTAAGGTGAACGCCTGCACAAGCAAGTGAAGCACGTTATCTGCCTGTATGAGCCCCCTGTGCCTGGCCTGGCCTGTGCTCCTCACCATGTCTCCTGCTTCTGTTGCCCCTTCGCCTTGCCAGGTGGAGTCTGACTGATTTTTGCCACTGCTGCTGCCACAGGCCACCTGGAGCCCCAGCCAATTTGAGGAAAGTGGCTCTGCCTGATTTTCCTTTTTCTTTTTTTTTCCCTCTTTTTTCTCCATTTCTGACTTCAGCAGGTACTTGGAGTTGCTGCTTCTGCAGCCACAGAAGACTCCCCAGTTTGGAGGACTGTGGCTGTGGGCTCCCTAAGCATCTCTCTGCAGAGACCCTCCGTTTTCCATTTTACCCACCACATGAATAACTAACACAGTGGCGGAGGAGTGCATGTCTCTTCCTATTTGTCATTACTCTTCTAAGTTGCACAACTATACTCGGCCACTGGTCAGAATAAGAGAAAAAGCAGCGAAACCAGGAGGATCCTACAAGAAATACTCCGTTTCATTTTTGTTTGTGCATATACCTTTTCTGTTTAAATGTGGACTTCGATTTGATATGCTTCCAGTGCAGATACAGATTGCATATGTAAGAGAGTATGGAGTTGCATAGAAAGAAGACTTGTCATTTTCCTGTACTGTTGGTGTTCTAATATATCTTCGTGATTTTTTGCCTCTTCTGGCTTTAGAAGATACACCAACATGGTTTGCAACATAGCCTCTTCTTATTTTGGTAAAGGACCAAATGTGCATGTCAGTGATAGGTGTTACCTTGAATTGGGGTCAGTGCTTGTGTGATTATATTCAGTGATGTCATTTTCTCTCACACTCAAGTCACAAAATATTTAACCACTTATTTTTTTTTTTAATCTCTGGAGGAATAATCCAAAAGATTGTGCTGTAAAGCTGGAACAGTTTCCAGTTATGCTAATTATTTGTATAATACTTAGTTGACTTTATCCATGGTTTGTTGGCTTTTTTTCCTGTAGCTCGTCAAGGTTTTTCTGTGAGTTCTGTTAAAGAGTCGGAAAATGGAGCCTAGAAGACATGCTTCAGTTTCCAGGATGGTTGTGTTTTCCAGAGAGGCGTAGGTAAACCATTGGCGCAGCCCTGCCTCCCACAGATAATTCCGTGTGCAGTGTTTCATATCTAGACTTGGACTTCTGTCCTACCATACTTCTTTGTGTGCAGGTATTTTGGGGGATAAAATTCTTGTTTTCACCTGTATAGATGTCTCGCATGTACTCTTGTGATGGTTTGATTTATCCATTGTGTTCACGTTTCAGTGAGCACGATATGGGATTTAATTTCCAATCTAAAGTCTGTGACTGCCAGCTGGGCGCAGTGACTCACGCTTGTAATCCCAGCATTTGGGAGGCCGAGGTGGGCAGATCATGAGGTCAGGAGATCACGACCATCCTGGCCAACAGGGCAAAACCCCGTCTCTACTAAAAATACAAACTACAAAAATTAACCATGCATGGTGTTGTGTGCCTATAGTCCCAGTTACTTGGGAGACTGAGGCAAGAGAATCACCTGGTCCTGGGATGCGGAGGTTGCAGCGAGTTAAGATCATGTCACTGCACTCCAACCTGGGCAACAGAGACTCTGTCTAAAGAAAAAAAAGAAGATTATAATTATTTTCAACCTCATGTCTCCGTGTCACACACAGATCCATGAAGCTGTGTTCTTTTTTTTTTTTTCAGAGTATTTTCTTTCTTGTCTAGATTAGCTAAATTTGATTGTTCTATTCTAAATTCACTTAATCACTACTCTATTATTTTTGAAATTTTCAGTTCTGTTTTTTCACTTGGTTCTTTAAAAAAAAAAAAAATACTACTACTACTTCTCTGAGATTTCTACTTTTTTACTTTTTTCAATAAGCTTTATAATTATTTCCCAAAGCATTTTTACCGTGACTGTTTTTAACTTCTTCAGATAAGCACAACATTTGGTTAATCTTGAGGTTGGATTAGTTAACTGTCTTTTCTCATCCTGCATATGATTTTCCTTCTAATTGTGATTTTCCAGTTCTTGTTAGATGGGTAATGTTTTAGTTTATCCTGCATTTTTTTTTTTTCCTTTTTAAGTTAGGGGAATCTGAATCTATTCAAATGTTTTGTTTTAGCAGGCGTGTGCCCTGTTTAGGTTTAATTTGAATGTCCTTGTAGGCCATGTTTTCATAGGCAATCTTGCTATCAGAGCTGAGGGGGTGCTGCTTTGATCACTTAGTTTATCTGATGTTGCCGGTCCTCCAACTCGTGCCTACTGGTACTTTCTGAGATGGCGAAGGGTTTTCTGTACTTTCAGATGCCGGGTATCTCTATGTAGGGGGAGGAGACTCTGGACCACAGGAATGAAGAGAGCATCCTAGATCAGGCAACTCAGTCATACGGGATAACCTGGGTCAACCAGCCAGTAGCTTCATGAAGTGTGGGAGGGGATTCTCCAGTGTAGGGAACACGGAAGCTATGCATGTGAGAAGGGCTACAGCGTGGGGATCCCCAGGCCATTGGAACGGTAAATGTCTGTGTTACACATCTTTGCTCACTTTTTCTGTATCCTTGTAGTTCATTGTGGAACCAGCACAGATTTCCATATGAAAGTTATTTTTTTAACCTCAAAAAGTGACAGAATGGAGTGTATCATGGAAAAATCTGACATCAAAACCTCAAAATGTGATATTGGTAAGCATTTTGTCCTGAGAATACCAGCTTTTCCTCTTAGGGGATCATGACACTGCAGTGACCATGTGACCCTGGCTGTGCTCATCAGCCTGGGCTGCTCACTGACTGTAATACTGGTCTCCATGCCTCCAAAGGTGACAGCTGTGTGCTCAGTGTCTGCCACATGTCTCGGGCTCAAGGTCCCTTTTATAAGTGTGCCTGGATCGATGATGACTTAAAAATGGATCTCATCGGAATCTGAACAAAATGAGTGACCAAATCACTTCTGTGCCACTTCTGTGAGCTGAGGTCCAGCGCAGGGACCGTGCCAGACAAACACGAGGAGGGCCTTCAGTTTGGTCAGAACAGGTACCAAAACGGCCTGTGGAATTAGAAAACTAACCAGCTCATATACAGTAGAGGAAATTGTTGGACAGTTATCTACCAATATGTGGTTGGGGGTAAGATGGAGACTCTTCAAGTGCTTGGCTGGTAGCATCTATACACTGCAGTAACCAGACACTGGGGAGCCAGCACAGGAGTTACAGGATTTACAGGAAATCATTGTGCAAACCCACAAGCCATTCGGACATTTGTGTGAGCGCTCAGAATATTCTGGTTGATGATTTGTTGCTTGATGGCAAAGAGTTTTCAGCATTCAAAGACATCATGATTTTTACTTCTCATTTCCTTTTAAGTGAAATAATCGCATGGAAATTAAAGAATAAATATATGAAATATATGAAACATATGAAATATAAGATATTTGTATCATATAAGATATAAATATATGAAATCTTATCGTTTATTTTCATTTGATTGCCAACCCAGTCACAAGGACTGAAACAGCTGTTTCTTTTTTGTTTTCCCATCAACCAAGCAAGCTATTTAATACATGGTTCAGTGCTGGTTTCCACTACATGTTGCAGCAAACATTTTTAGAAGTGGTATTTCAAATTCTTGGATTTTCACATGGATTTCATTGTCTACTTTCATACGTCCTCCATGTGTGACCACTGTATTATTTAAAAGTTGTAATAAATGATTTTGAAGGGTATGTGCTGGAGGTACTTTGGGATAAACGTTTTAGAAAACATTATTTTCATACAATTTCGATCAAAGACATGAGCATAATTGTTCTTGTTACACAGATGGCCCAATGAGTATCTAATGTGAATTCTTATAACTGCTCATAATACAATAGTTAGTTAAGCAAATTTTGTTTCACAACTTTCCTAATTTCCCCTGTACTCTGTAGATTGGGTGAGATAGAATTCCATGGAATTTCATTGCCAAACCAGTGAAGTGCTAATTTTGACATTTGTACCAGCTGACGTAGCTGTGAAGAAGCACACCAATGCCACTTCTAAGGTAACATTCAATTTTTAGTGAATTTATTCTTGTGAGTTATTTTTATTCTTTTAAGTACTCAAGAATTTAGGTTCACAAAGAATTGGTTAATACTAACAGTTCCAGACATTAATATTCTGATGAGCTGAGGCATCAGTCTCTTTTTTTTGTAAAGATTTTGTTCTTTTCTCTATTTCGAATAACATGAAATGTCCAACAGGAGTTATAAGTTAGTGTGTATTCCATATATGTTAATAGTGAAATATCCTGTCTTATGCAAGGCTAAAAATTGTCCATGTATGCTTCTCAGATTCATATACATACTCTCTTCCAACAGGACAGCATAGACCAAGAACTGGGTTTCATATGGATGAATTTATTCTTCCTTTGAGGCAAGACAAGAAGGAAAGAAAGTATTGGGACTAATGCCATCCTCAAGGGTCAGTGGGAACTCTAATATTGGTAAGCCTTTTGTCCTGAGAATACCAACATTTCCTCTTAGGGAATCGTAACACTCTGGTAACCATGAGATTCTGGCTATGCTAGTCCACCATGGGCTGGTCATTGACTGTGATCTTGGTCTCCATGATTGAATAGTGTGGGTTGGTGTGTCCCAGTGACCAGTGTGCTTAGTGTCTGCCACATATCTCAGACTCAAGGTCCCTTTTATAAATGTGCCTGGATCGATGATGACTATAAAAAAAAGGATCTCATCGGAATCTGAACAAAATGAGTGACCAAATCATTTCTGTGCCACTTCTGTGAGCTGAGGTCCAGCACTGGGACCATGCCAGGCAAACATGAGGAGGGAGTGAGTTTACAGGGACTAGGGTATTGGAAAACTAACCTACCCATATATATTAGAGCAAATGGATTGTTCTCAGGTCTGTAAATATCCAACTGTGATTTGACATAGCAAGTCTTTTTGTACTTGCTTGGCAGCATTTATGGAAACAGTTGGTAGACCCTGGGGAACCAGGACATAGTGAGACTCAAGGGACGTTGTTGCACCTACCCTTGAGCCATTCACACATTTTTCTGAGCTCGCAGAATTTTCTGGTTGATGATCAGTCTCTTGAGGGTAATGAGAGGGTCACCATCCAAATCCAAAGATAATAATGAGATTTTACTTTTTTTTGAGATGGAGTCTCATTCTGTTGCCCAGGCTGGAGTACAGTGGCACAGTCTCGGCTCACTGCAACCTCCGCCTCCTGGGTTCACGAGATTCTCCTGCCTCAGCTTCCCGAGTAGCTGGGATTACAGGTGCCCGCCACCACTCCTGCCTAATTTTTGTATTTGTAGTAGAGATGGAGTTTCACCATATTGGCCAGGCTGGTCTCGAACTCCCGACCTCGAGTGATCCACCCACCACAGCCTCCCAAAGTGTTGGGATTACAGGCGTGAGCTGCCATGCCCGATCTTACTTTTTATTTTCAATTAAGTGAAACAATTACATGGAAATTTTTTTTAAAAAATGGTACTCTAAGTAGACTATTCTAGTGTATTTTAATGTTCTTGCCAATTCAGTCCTAGGATTGTATCACTTGTTTTTTTGATTTTGGTTTTTCTTATGAAAAAGCAAACCACTGTTTTTATTTGAGTGCTGGATTCAACTATATGCTACCTCAAATAAACTTAGATTATATTTCAAATTCTTTTTTACATAGATTTCATTGGCTATATTCATATATCCTCAAAGGTTTTCATTGTGTTTGAAGAGATATCCTAATTGTAATAAATGCTTTTGATTGGGGATGCCAGGGGAACTTTGAGACTAATGTCTCAGATTTTTTTTAAAAAGTTTATATTTTATAGTGATCAAGGATGTAAGAATCATTTTTCTTGTCATTCATTGGATAGTCCAGTGAGTGTCTAGTGTGAATTCTTATATTCCCTTGTAACTAAATACTCCATTTGGCAAATTTTGTTTCATAACTTCCCTAATTTCCTCTACACTTTGTAGATTGGGTGAGATACAATTCCATGGAATTTTACCACTGAACCAGTGAAGGGCTAATTTTGTCATTTGTACCAGTTAACTAATTTGGGAGGAAACAGAACAACACACTCCTGAGGTAGTATCCAATTTTTAGTAAATTTATTTTTATTATTTTTAAAACTGTCAGTGATTTGGTTTTGTGAACAATAGGTTAATACAGTGTTAGGAATTATTAATCTGATGCGCTATCTGAAGCATCAGTTTTCCTTAAGATTTTTTTCTTCTCTGTACTTTGGATAACATTTAAAACATTTCCAAGAGTTACAAATTAGTATGTTTTCTATGCTGATTAATAATGAAACCTTTCGTCTATACAAATTTTAAAAAATGGATGTGTGTGTGTGCGCGTGTGTGTGTGTGTGTGTGTATATATATATATATATAAAATCTCTTCTCACAATATGATGCAGACCAAAACTGCATTTTACATTTTATATGGCCAAGTTTATTGTTTCCTTGTGTCGTAATATGATGGAAAGTAATGGGAATAATTCTGCTTCCTGTCCTTAGGGACCAGTAGGAATTTTCCCATGGTAAACATTTTGTCCTTAAAATACTGACATCCTGTTAAGAGATCATGACACTCCAATGACCATGGGACCCTGGCTATGCTAGTCCTCCAGGGGGCTGACCATTGACAGTGATGCTGGTCTCCATGATTAAATAGTGTGGGTCAGCATGTCGCAGGGTGACAGAAAGCTGTGTGATCAGTATCTGTCACATATCTCAGACTCAAAGTTCCTTTTTAAAATGTGCCTGGATCGATGATGACTTAAAGATTGATCTAATTTAAATCTGAACAAAATGAGTGACCAAAACACTTCTGTACCACTTCTGTGAGCTGAGGTCCAGCACAGAGACCACTCCAGTCAAATGTGTTGCCTGGAGTTGCAACTAGTTGGTCAGTTAGAAGCAACCACAGGGACTGGGGTATTTGAAAACCACTTGAGTGCATTTATTGGAGGAAATGAATTTTACATTTGTGTATAAAAATTCAATTGTAGGGTAAAATGGAAACTCTGAGAGTTTGGTTGGCGGCATCTGTATACCATAGAAACAGAGCCTGGGAAGCAGAACAGTGAGACCCAAGAGAAATGTTCCTGCCTCTACTTGGTCTGTTCCCACATTTGCCTGAACTACTGATTGACCTTTTGAGGGTGATGATATGGTCAGAATCCAAGGATATTATGAGTTTTTACTTCTTATTTATTTATTTATTTATTTATTTGGGGTACATGTGCAGAACGTGCAGTTTTGTTACATTGGTATACATGTGCCATGGTGGTTTGCTACACCCATCAACCTATCATCTACATTAGGTATTTCTCCTAGTGCTATCCCTCCCGTAGCCCCTGACCCACTGACAGGCCCTGGTGTGTGATGTTCCCCTCCCTGTGTCCATGTGTTCTCATTGTTCAACTCCCACTTATGAGTGAGAACATGTGGTGTTTGGTTTTCTGTTCTCATGTTTGCTGTAATGATGGTTTCAGCTTCATCTATGTCCCTGCAAAGGACACGAACTCATCCTTTTTTATGGCTGCATAGTATTCCATGGTGTATATGTGCCCGATTTTCTTTATCTTGTCTATCATTGATGGACATTTGGGTTGTTTCCAAGTCTTTGCTATTGTTAATAGTGCCGCAATAAACATATGTGTGCATGTGTCTTTATAGTAGCATGATTTATAATCCTTTAGGTATATACTTAGTAATGGGATTGCTGAATCAAATGGTATTTCTACTTCTAGATCCTAGAGGAATCACCACACTGTCTTCCACAATGGTTGAACTAATTTACACTCCCAACAACACTGTAAAAGTGTTCCTATTTCTCCACATCCTCTCCAGCATTTGTTGTTTCCTGACTTTTTTAATGATCACCATTATAACTGGCATGAGATGGTGTCTCACTGTGGTTTTGATTCGCATTTCTTTAATGACCAGTGATGATGAGCCTTTTTTCATGTTTGTTGGCTGCATAAATGTCTTTTGTTTTACTTCTCATTTTCTTAAAGTGAAGCAATTTCATGTGGTATCTTCCAAGTGTATTTTAATCAGTTGCCAACCCAGCTGCTAAGATTGAACCAGTTGTTTTGTTTTTCTCTTTTTTTTTCTATTAATTTAGCAAACAATTTCATATATAGTTTGCTATCCTTCTCCATGGGGCCTGCATCTTCAGATTCAACTAACCATGGATTGAAAATATTTGACAAAAAATTGTATGGTTTCATCTGTACTGAAGATGTACAGTCTTTTTCTTTCTTTTTTTTTTTTTTTTTTGAGACAGAGTTTTACTCTATCGCCCAGGCTGGAGTGCAGTGGCATGATCTCAGCTCACTACAACCTCTGCCCCCTGGGTTCAAGCGATTCTTCCACCTCAGCCTCCCAAATAGCTGGGATCACTGGCGCCCACCACCATGCCTGGCTAATTTTTGTGTTTTTAGTAGAGATGGGGTTTCATTTTGTTGGCTGGGCTGGTGTCGAACTCCTGACTTCAAGTGATCTGCTTGCCTCGGTCTCCCAAAGTGCTGGGATTACAAGCATGAGCCACTGTGCCCAGCCAAGTGCAGTGTTTTTCTTTGGTCATTATTCCCTAAAAAACACAGTGTAACAGCTATTTACACAGTATTTACATTGTATTCGGTATCATGAGTAATCTAGAAATGATTTCCTGCATGTAGGAGGATGTACATAGGTTCTCTGACATACTGCACACTGTGTTCGCTGTGTTTAAAGAAATGTCCTAGCTATAGAATACATACATTTGAAGTCAGTGTGCTGAGAAAGCACTGACATGGATAGAAAATATTCTAGCTGTATAGAATAGACAGAATAGAATAGAATAGAAAAAATTCTATCTGTGTCAGTCTGATCAAAGAAGTGAGTATAGTCTTGTCATGCATACAGTCTAATGAATGTCTAAAGTTAATTCTTATAACTGCTTGTAACAATATTTCATTTGGCAAATGTTGTTTCACAACTTTCCTAACTGGCCCTGTACTTTGTAGATTGGTTGTCACAGAATTCCGTGGACTTTAACCAGTGATGCGCTGATTTTGTCATTTGTACCAGCTAACTCATCTGGGAGGCAACAAAACAATATTCTCCTGAGGTAACATCCAACTTTTAATAAATTTATTTTTGTGGTTTGTGTTTTTTTAAGTAATTGAGAATTTCATTAGGTGTACAAGGAGTCACTTAATACAAATAGTATTAGGCATTCAGTATTCTTATGAGATATCTGAGCCTTCAGTTTCTTTTAACATTTTACATTTTGTTCAACTTTAAATAACATCAGAAACATCCTATAAGTGTAATAAAATTCTCATACTTTACATATAGTTACATAGTAAAGCCTCCTGTCTTATTTGCAAAATGAACATGTGTACTTCTCATTCCCATGTATATAATCTCTTCCCACAGAATGAAGTGGACCAAGAACTGGGCTTCATACGGATGAATTTATTTTTTTCTCCATGTGGAGACGTGAAGGAAAAGTATAGGAAATAATTCTGCCTCCCACCCACAAGTCCCCATGGGAATTTCTCACATGTTAAAAAGCATTTTGTCCTGAAAATAACAACATTTTTTCTTAGGGAATCAGGACACTCCAATGACGGTGAGACTCTGGCTATGCCAGTCAGCCATGGGCTGGTCATTGACTGTGATGCTGGTCTCCATGATTGAATAGTGTGGGTCATTGGTGACAGATAGCTGTGTGCTCAGTGTCTGCCACATATCTCAGGTTCAAAGTCCCTTTTATAAATGTGACTGGATCATGATGACTTAAAAATGGATCTTGGAATCTGAGCAAAACGAGTGACCAAACCACTTCTGTGCCAGTTCTGTGAACTGAGGTCCAGCACAGGGACCATGCCAGGCAAACACGTGGAGAGAGTTCAGTTTGGTCAGCAGCTGGTACCAAAATGGACCGTGGTATTGGAAAACAAACCCACTCACATAGGTTACAGCACATGAATTGTACAGAGGTTTGTATGTGTTTGTATGTATTTATATATGTTTGTGTACATATATCTTTGGGGATTATATGGCATTTCTTTCAGTGTTTGGCTGGCAGTGTCCATACTCTCATAGTAAACAGAACTACTCAAGAGTAGAAGGAACAATGGGAAACAGTTTTGCGTACCCTAGAGTCTTTTACACATTTTTTTTAGGTGTTATAATCTTGTGTGTGAGGTCAGTCTCTCAGGTTCATTAGGTGGACAGTGCAAAAGGTATTATGAGTTTATATATTATTTATTAAGTAAAGGAAATATTTGGAAATTGAAGAGTAGCTTTTATCTATTAAATAAAAGAATATATGGAAACTGAATGGCACTTTCTATTTGTGGAAAGTCTTAACATTTTAATTTCCTTATTTTAAATTACTAACATTTAATTTCCTTATTGACCTTATCACAAAAATTGGAATTTAAATTTTGCCTGTCACTCAAAGAGAAGCTTTTTAGACATTTGATTGAGGGATTCTAGTAGATGCTATAGTAAACATTTCTAATTGTAAAATGATTAAATTTTCAATTCATGGAGTTTTATGTGGATTTCATTGCCTGATATTCATTTTTTTTATTGGTGAGTTTCATAGATGTTTGAAGGGAGATCCCAGTTTTATTGTGTGATGCTAACGGAGGCCTTTGGTCTTAGAAAACTGACTTTAGTACTACCCATTTCCAGGGAGTGAGCATAATTTTTATTCTCATACCGTGTGGGCAAGTGAAGATCTATGGTTTATTTCCTATAACCCGTCATTAGTAATTATGAAAGTAAGAAAGTTGACAAATGAAACTCTTTTAATTATGAGGGTTTCATTTGTCAACTTCTTTACTTCCTCATTGTGCTTCGCATATTGGAGGTAATGCTGGAATTGCATGGAATTCCTACTGCTGCTCCACTAACCTGCTAATTTGGTCACATGTACCAGATTCCTTGTCTAGCAATGAAAACAATACACTTCAGAGGTAATACTGCAATTTTTAGTTAGTGCATTTGTCCTGGGTGAGTTCTATTATTTTATTTTCGCAAGTAAGGTTAGAATTGGTTTTTCAAGCAGTCCGTTAATCCACATGGTGTGAGGCCCTAATAATCTGGTTAGTCATCTGAGGTTTCTGTGTCCTTTGTCCAGTATTTTTATACTTCCTCTGTTTTCAAGAATACCCTACTAGCGAAATAATTTAGTATATTTTATGTACTTGTGCATAGTAAACCTGTTGTATATGTACACTATTTGCATGGTTGGCAAATGTACATTTGTACTTTTTATTTTTCTATAATTTTTTTTCTATTTTCAAAGGTTAATGTGGACGAAGAACTAGATTTCATGTAAAAGAGTTTATTCTTTCTACTTGAGGTGTGACTTGAAGGAAAGTAATGGAAATAATTCTGCCCTCCCATTCTCAAGGGCCGGGGGAGTTCTAATATTGGTAAGCATTTTGTCCTGAAAGCACAGACATTCTTCTTCGGGAGTCATGACACTCCCATGACAGTGAGACCCTGGCTGTTCTGGTCTGCCGTGAGGCTGGTCACTGGCTGTGATGCTGGTCTCTGTAATTGAATAACGTGAGTTGGCAAGTCCCCAGGTGACAGAAAGATGTGTGTTCAGTGTCTGCCACATATCTCAGACTCAAGGTCCCTTTTATAAATGTGCCTTGATCAATGATGACTTAAAAAAAATGGAAACCTTGGAAATCTGAACCAAACAAGTGACCAAGACACTTCTGTGAGCTGAGGTCCAGCACAGGGACCATACCAGGCAAACACATGGAGGGCGTTCAGTTTGGTCAGCAACTGCTACCAAAACTAACCCATCCGCATATGTTAGAGCAGATAGATGAATTGTACAGAGTTCTGTATATCTTTGGGGATTACATGACAATGATTTAAGTGCATGGCTGGCAGCATTCAAACCCCTAGTAATCAGGCTTGGTGGCACCAGTGTCCGAGGAGTGAGCATTGTAGAACTAGCTGTGCCAGCGCTTGAGTCATTCACACTATTTGCATAGATGCCACAGCATTCTTAGTGAGGATCAGCATGTATAGGTATGTTACGTAGTCAATTAGAAAGAAATTGTCAGTCTTTGCTTGTTATTTTTTCTTTCACCAAAAGAAATACGTGAAAATCGAAGAGTGGGTTGTATTCATGGAATTATCTTACTACCTGCTGGAATTTGCTTGCTAACTCAGTCTGAAGTATTAGAACAGCATTTGTTTTTCTTTTTCCTGTCACTCAGGGAGCAATTTTCTAAACATTAGATGACAGATTAAATTAGATGCTTCATTAAACATTTTAATGTGAAATAATGAAATTTCTAATTCTAGGGATTTTAGGTGGATATTGTTGGCTAATAGGTATATTCCTTCATTGAGTCTTTGTATATTTTAAGAGAGATTCTAATGTTAGTAATACTCAGGGGGCCTTTGGCCTTTGAGACCAAAATCTTGGAAACATTGATTTTCTATACTTATCCTGTTCCAAGCAACAAGCAGATTTTTTAGTTATGGAGATAGTCAAGTGACTATGGCTAATTAATTACAAACTGTTGTCAGGAGTCATTCAGTTGGGAAGGTTTTGTTTCAAAACTCCTGTAATGTCCCCTGTGCCTTGCAGAACGGAAGTGATTTTGGAATTGCATGGAATTCTCAGTGCCATCCCAAAGAAATGCTGATCATGTCACTCTTACTTGTTCCATTGCCTGGGGCAGAACAAAAGGATGTACTTCAAAGGTAACATCCAAGTTTGAATAAATTTACTCTTTATGGCTTATTTTGTAATTTTTCTGTAGTCAAGTAGATAATCGGTTTTGTGAATGATCTGTTAATAACAGTATGAGGCATTAATTATCTGGTGAATCATCCAAAGCTTTCATTATCCTTTATTTCCAATTTTTTTTTCGTTCTCCCTTTTCAGTAATATGAAAAACCTCCTAGTAGTTATGTTAGTATATTTGATATTGATATACATAACAAACCCTCCCTTCTTGTGCATGATTGACAAATGGACATACGTATTTACCATTTTCGCATATTTGTACTGTTTTCACAGATCGACATGAACCAAGAACTGGGTTTCATATGAAATATTTTATTCTGTCCTCTTGAGATGTGACATGAAGAAAAGTGTTGAGAATATTTCTATCACCTCATCTTCAAGAATCAGTAGGAATTCTCCCATGGTAAGCATTTTGTCCTGAAAATACTGGCATTCCTCTTAGGAGGTCGTGACACTCCAATGACTTTGAGACCCTGGCCATGCTTGTGAGCCATTGGCCAGTCGTTGACTGTGATGCCAGTCTCCATAATTGGATGAATAGTGTGGGTCAGTGTACCCCAAGCTGATGGAAAGCTGTGTGCTCAGTGTCTGCCACATATCCTGGATTGACGATGACTTTAAAAAAAAAAAAGAATCTCACTGAAATCTGAAAAAAATGAGTGACCAGAGCACTTCTGTGTGCTGAGGTCCAGCACACAGGACAGGCAAACAGGGAGGGATGTGGATGGTCAGTGCCCATAGGGACTGGGGTATTTGAAAGCTAATCTGCCTGCGTATGTTGAAGGAAATGAATTGGACAGTTGTCTATAAATATCCCATTTTTTAATAAAACAGCTATTCCTTTGGTGCTTTGCTGGTAGCATCCATCCACTGGTAGTAAATAGACCCTGGAAAACCAGCACATATGTAGTGAGACCCCATGAGATATGATTGTACGTACCTTAGAGCCATCCACACAGTTATCTTGGATGTGACAGTCTTTTGAGTGAGAGCAGTTTACTAAGGTCATTTAGATCTTCAGTTCCAAAGATGGCGTGGGTCTTATCAATTAATTTTTTTAGGTAGAGGTAATATCTGGAAAATTAAAGAGTGATTTCTAACCGTGAGAATATTTTAGAGTTTGTTTAAATTTGCTTGCTAACCCAGTCCCAAGACTTATGACCTTTTTTTCTGTCTGCATAAAGCAATATTCTAGACATTTGAGTGATTCAAGTAGATGTTGTGAGATGATTACATTTCCAGTCCTTGGAATGTTATGTGGATTTTATTAGCTAATCTTCATATTTCATCAGTGGATTTTCCTATGCATGTTAAGGGAGGTCCTTGTTAATTGATATGTAGGTGGACTTTAGGGTTAACCTGAACAGGTCTTGGGAAAAGGACTTTAAACATTCTCCTGTTCTGTGGAATAAGTATACTTTTTTCTGGACATACACCTTGTCAATGAGTATGTATCATAATTGCTCATAAATTCTTATCAGGAACCATTTGATGTGGAAGATTTCTTTCTCAACTTCTCTAATTTCCCCTGTGGTTTGCAGGTTCCATGTGATACTAGAGTTGCGTGGATTTTTAATCTTTACACCAATGAAGATCAGAGGCTAACAGTGCCCTTTTTTTAGAAGTTTGCATTTGTCACTGATAACTGTAGTAACTGATCTTGTTGAAAAGCGTGAGAAATGAAGATCTGATATGTCACTTTTACCAGCTTCCTCAACTGAGAAAGAATACAACGAAACATGCTGAGGTAACACCTAATTTTTGATAATGTTTTCCTGCGTTATTACTGTTTTAAGTATTTAGGAATTTAAGGGGTGCTATATGGAGTCAGTTAATTCACATACTATAAGATCTTAATCTGATGAGTCATCTGAGGCTTCTGTTTGTTCTTTTCCAGAATTTTTGTGCTTTCTCAGTCTTGCTGCTGATCTTTCTGTGGGCATGAAGCATGGAGAGTGCCAGAGAGGCTGATCCTCAACAGTGTGACAGTGGAAAGTTGGGTGTGACCAAGAGGTATGCGGTGCCCAAATGCCAGTAGGTCCTCAGCAGTACCACCTGGGTGAGCATCACTCTGAAAGCTGAGAGTAGGTGGGAAGCAGCTCATGGTGAGAGGATTTAGAGGCCGCCTTTCCCTCTCTGCACACTGCACAGTTCTTCTAGTCACATATCCCGGGACAGTACCATACCTGTGTGTGTCCTGCCTACATTGCTGTGACCACTTTGAGTGGAATCAGGTACGGTGTAGCTCTGTGCAGCTTCTGCAAATTGCCACGCTCCCACTCTCAAGCAGGTTGAGTGCTACAAGTGATTTTTAGACCATTGTTTCTTTATTCCCTTCTTTTTGTGACTTCTTCCTCCCCAATCCACTGGGTGACCTTTGAAGGTAAATAATCCTGAGGTGATTGAATTTATGGAAATGCTATGCATTGTTGTGAATGGAGTGTTCACCAGGCCAACATCTTCTTGGAACTTTGAGCACACTGATAGTCTGGTTGCACATTTGATTTGTCTGGCAGCAAATGTTGGACAGTATTTGGACTGATGGAAGCTAGAGACAAACACGTTGACTGTTGTTGAATAACACTGGGAACATCCTAGGAGAGCGGTATATTAGCTAATTTAATAGGTACATAAACTGAATCCTACTGTCTTGTGCTTGATGGACCAGCAGACACATATGCATGTATTGTTCTCATGTTTCTGCATCTTTACCCTATTCCCACAGGTCGACAAAGACAAGGCACCTAGCCTCACATGAAACTTTATTGCTTTCCCTTGAGATGTGACATGACAGAAAATGTCAGAAATGATTTTTCCATCCCATCCTCAGGGACCAGTGGGAATTAATTTTACCACTACACCTTCAAGGGCCAGGTTAGGTTGCTCAGTGTTTTGTCACTAAAATATTGCCCTTTTTTGGGGATTATGTAATACTCCATAAGGCACTGTCTGTGCTGGGCAGCATGGAGCCTGGGGCATTGCTGTGTTGGGGGCTGGTCTCCATGACTTAATAGGGTGGATCAGTGTGTCCCAGAGAAGTGTACTCCAGAGTGCTCCTTTTCTTTCATGTTTCTGAGGCGAAACAGTGCCCCTTTTTAGAAGTTTGCACGTGTCACTGATAACTGTAATAATTAATCTTGTTGAAAAACCTGGGGAAACAATGAGTTAAATAATAACTCCTCTGAACATGAGGTCCAGCACAGTTACCTGCCCTAAACAAACTATATGGAAGGAGAGTTCAGTTTGTTCATCTGTGTGCTCCCAGCAAGGACTGTGGTACTGGAAAACTAACCAGCTTACATGCACTAGAGAAACTGAATTGGACAGTGACCTGTAGGTACCTAGTTTGGAGATGAAATTGCAACTCTGAGTTATTGATTGGCAACATAAATATGTTGATAGTAAACAGACCCTGGGGAATCGGCACTTGAGTTGTGAAATTGTAGGAAATAGCTATACCTACACTTGAGCCATTCACACTTTTGTTGGAGCTGCAATAATCTTCTAAATCATGCTTGCTCTCTTGAGGGCAATAAGATGGTCAGAATCCAAGGAAATTTGGGGTTTTCACTTTTCATTTCTCTATTAAGTGAAAAAAGTTATGAACTGAAAAATAGGTGTTACTTATGTAATCTTCATAGTATAATTTAATTTGCTTGCCAGGCAGTCACTGGGATTTAATCAGTTTCTTTGTCTTTCATTTTCTCATTAGCTGAGAGAGTAATTTTGTGTGCACAGAAGTACTGTCTTCAGCTACATGCTGCATTAAACATTCCTAGATGTGAAATGATTAAATTTCCAAGTTTTTAAAATGTGGATTTTTATGGCCACTTTTATATCCCTTCAATGGGTTTCTAATGGATTTAAGGAGAGAGCCTAGTCATAGTGAATGGTGGTGTGCTGGGTGTGCTGAGGAAACTTGGAGACCAATGTCTCAGAAAACAATTATTTCTACACTGTCGTGTTTCAAGCACCAGGTATTGTTCTTGTCATACAGATGGTCCAGTGAACATCTCTGGGGAATTCCTTACAACCAACCTCTTGTTACAAAATATTCCATTAGGAATGTTTTGTTTCTCAACTCCCTGATTTCCCCTTTATAGATCGGAAGTGATATTGGTGAAAGACAACACTTTGCCGCTTGGAATTCTCACCTCCACACCAAAGGAGGACTGTTTTTGTCATTTGCACCGGCTTCTTTCTCCAGGAAAGATCAAAACGATGCACTCCAAGGGTAACATCCAGTTTTTAATACGTGTAATTTCCTGGATTATTTTTGTTGTGTTATTAAATAACTTAGAATTGTTTTTACAAAGTCTGTTGAACCAAACAGTGTAAGGCATTAATAACCTGGTGAGTTATTCGAGGCTTCTTTTCCTCTCCTGGAATTTTTGCACAATTTATATTTTGAATAATATCAGATACATCCCAGTAGAGTAATAAATTAGCACATTTTATATGCAGATACACAGTGAAGCCTCCTTTCTTATGCATGTTTGACAATTGGACATGTATATTTCTCATCTTCCCATATTTTTACTCCGTTTCCACAGGTCCACGTAGACCAAAATGTGGATGTCATATGAAAGAGTTTAAACATTCCCCTTGAAATACAAGAGAAAGTATCAGAAATAATTACACCATTCCATGCTCACAGACCAGTGGGAATTCTCACAGTAAGCATTTTGTCCAGGAAATACTGTATTATTCTTAGGGAATTATAACATTCTAATGGTAATGGTAGTCAGCCATGTGGCTGGATCATTGTTCCTGTATCCTGGTCCCTATGACTTAGTGTGGTCATGGTGTCATTGTGTCCAAGACAGACAGAATCGTTAGTGTGTAGTGTTGTCTGCTATCTCAGGCTCACAGTCCCTTTTATAAACATGGCTGGACTGATGATGACTTCAAAATCTTTTGGAAATCTGGACTATCTGAGCAGTAGAATTGCTTCTCTGAAATTGATTTCAAGTCATATAAAAGGCCATGTTATACATATATTGTTAATCTGAGGGAGGTTGTGATCATTTAAGTTGTATTTTATAAGCACTAGGACCACCAGTAAGAAAACAATTCAAAAAATATTAAAAGAACAACCAAAGAATTAAAATAGGATAACGAAAAGATCTGTTTAACACAAAATAAGGCAGTTAACAATGAACAGCGGAACTAATAAGACATAAGACATGTAGAAAACAGGAAAATGACAGACATAAAACCAGCCATATGACAATTATATGAAATTTTTAAAAGAGATTAGGAGATTCTGTTGTTTTTTGAACATGAACAACTATACATTGTCTACAAAAGAGACACTTTAGAACAAAAGATACAAATAGTTTGAAAGGAAAAGATGGAAAAAGCTATATCCAGTGAATCCAGAAGAGAGCAGAAGTGGCTATTCTGACATCAGAATAAAGAGACTTAAAGTATTGCTAGAGAGGAAGAAGGATAGTATTTAATGTAGAAGGGTTAATTAATAAGGAATATGTAACAATTATCATATCAGCACTAACAACACTGCCCAAAGTTACATACACTGAAAACTCACATGATTGAGGGGATCAATAGGTGGTTCAACAATAATAACTTTTGTTCATAGCCTCTTCTTAATCACTGATAAGTCAATTAGGTAGAGCATCATTGAGGTTACAAGATACTTCAGCAATGTTATCAACCAGTTTGACCTGAGATAGATAGATAGATGATTGATAGATAGATAGATAGATAGATAGATAGATAGATAGATAGATAGAGAAAACTCCACCCAACAACAGAAATACAAATTATTTTCAAGCATACCTGGAACATTCGCCAGGGTAGAGTATGTGTTAGGCTATAAAACTGTACTCAATAAATTTAAGATTGAAACCATGTAGAGGATGTTGTGTCACCATAGAGGAATTAAATTAGAAGTCAACACAAATACATTTGGAGGTCACAAAATATTTGGAAATTAACACACTTTACAGAGCCCATTGGTCAAAAATCTGTAAAAAGAAACTAGAAAGTCCAGGGGTGGTGGCTCACACCTGTAATTCCAGCACTTTGGGAGGCCTCGGTGGGCACATCACTTGAGGCCAGGAGTTCAAGACCAACCTGGGCAATATGGCAAAACCACCCCATCTCTACAAGAAATACAAAAAAATGAGTTGAGCATGGTGGTGCATGCCTGTAGTACCAGCTACTCGGGAGGCTGAGGTAGGAGAATCACTCGAGACCAGCAGGTAGGAGCTGCATTGAACCAAGATTGTGCCACTGCACTCCAGTCTGGGTGACAAAATGAGACCCTGTCTAAAAAATAAAAATAAAAAATAAAAAGAATCTAGAAAACATCTTGCATAGAATGTGATACAACTAAAGACATGCTTAGAGGGATATTTATAGTTTTAAATAACTGTATCAGGAAAAAAAGGGAAAATAAATAAATGATATAAGCTTCCACCTTAAACAAGAAAAAGACTAAACTAGAAGATGAAATTCAAAGCAAACAGAAGGAAGTAAGCAATAGGGATTTGAGCAAAAATTGATGACATAAAAAAGACAAAATACAGAGAAAAATTCGTGAAACCAAAAGTTGAGTTTGTGCAGAGATTTGTGAAATTGACAGTCCTTTAGCTTGACTGACACAGATCATTAGAATTAGGAATGATGGAGAGGATATCACTACTGACCCTATAGATTGGATCAGGAATGTTGCTGTTTGCTGTATTGTACTTTCTTGAGGGGAGAGCTATGAAGGAAAACAAAATTCTCATTGCACTTACAACTCAACAACACAGCGTTGACATTTTGATTCTCATTGGCTTCATTGCTCATATCTGTGAGGTTTCCAGAAGATCCCATAGCAATATCATTCATTCCAAATTTATCTGTGGGCTACTCTGGGAACACTGTCTGTGGGTTAGCCCTGCTCTGCAAGGAGCAGTAAAAATAAAAACATATATATATATTTTTTGATACTTAGTCTTGCTCTATCGCTCAGACTGGAGTGCAGTGGCGCGATGTTGGCTCACTGCAACCTCTGCCTCCAGGGTTCAAGTGATTCTCCTGCCTCAGCCTCCCGAGTAACTGGGATTGCAGGCACGTGCCACCACACACTACTAATTTTTGTGTTTTTTTAGAGACAGGGTTTCACCACGTGGGCCAGGCTGGTCTCAAACTCCTGACCTCAGGTTATCTGCCCTTGGCCTCCCAAAGTGCTGGGATTACTGGCATGAGCCACTGTTCCTGGCAACTGTTTGTAGCCAGTGGGGAATTGTTTTAATTTTGGGAAGCCTCTTGTAATCAAATCATGTGTCAACATTAATCACATGGTTAAGTGCTCCATGGTTTTCATTCCTAAAGATTCTAGGATGTTTGACATTTCTCTGCTTAGCTTGTAGCAGAAAGGTATTGGGTATCAAGAATGTTTGAACAGTTTCTCCTTTTTGGGAATGAAGATGATATTGGGCTAGAATTGAGATGTATGATTGAGAGAATGTCTCTGAGGCCTGAGCAGTGTGCCCTTTTGGGTATGGACATTGGAAGAATGTAGTGAATTCTTATAATTTTATGTTGCCTTGGCATCCATCTTGAATGTGAGTTTAACTTTCTTATATTAGAAGCAAGGCTTACTCACCTTTGCATAGTTTCCAGTTCTACACCTCCTCGTTCCTCAGTGTGGTTGGTCCAGATAGCTGCCTTATCCAACTGCCTCCTTTGGACCACTTCACCATGGGACAGCTTGGTGCAATCTACCTGACAAGCCGCTTGAACCCCACACCCCTTATGGAGCCAGTGTCCACCTCCCAGTCACAGTGTGACCCCAGGGAACTCATGCCTGCTTGCTTTAGACCCACCGCTTAGAAGTCTCCATAGCAAACCTGTTTGAATAGTCCCCTTGACCCAGTAGGGGCATTGGCCCATGTGTGTCTCTCTCTCTCTCTCCGTCTCTCTCACTCCCTGACCTCTGCGTGTGGACTCCCAGGCATGCCATGTACCCCTCAGGACCTGTAAGTAATACTGTCTTTATTTTTATCTTATCTCTTCTAATCATTGAAAGGGCGCTCTCTATCTTGAAGATACTATATTAAATAAAATGAGAACTTGACCCTAACACAGTTAGTGACAGGCTGAAACACGCTGATTGCACTCTTTATCTATTTAGTGATTTTTCTCAAGTTACTGCACACCATGTATTATCAACATAATTGATATAGAGTGGAATTATAAAACACTTTTGCCACAGAAAGTTCTGTTGGACACAGATTATCTAGAGCTACTACGTGTATGCTATTTTGTGATAAAAGATGTAGATGTGATAAAAGCATTTATAAAATATAAAAACATTTATAAAATATCTGTCTTAGAAATGTTAGCTAAAATTAGTTTGGGAAAAGTATGTTTGAAAATAGAATTGTAAGCTACCACATTTTGATAAATATTTCTAAATTTGTTTATTAACTTATCAGGAGACAACAGAGTGAAGTAAAGAAAACAGTAGCTTTGTATCAGTATGTTTTTATTCGGAAGACAAATGCGTGTTTTAACTATTGTATGTTTTTGGCTTAACTTTTTTTGTAAAGTTAAAACTTTACACTTTTACATGAATCTGTAATTTCAAGATGTCTTAATGGTTGACAGGGACAGGACAATTGAAAACCTGTAAATATATTTGGTAAAATTTATGATGCATTGTTTTGCAGATGGCTTCAGAGAGTATTAGCACATCTGTTTGAGATGTGCACAGTTTTACATTTGTCCCTTAGGTCATCAACAAGGCTGAGGTCAGTAAATCACATGTAAGCCACTGTATAGTTATGAGGCTATTCTGAATAGAGATATATCATTTTATCATATCTAGACTTTCTAGTTATATTAATGCTGTTGAAAATGATTTTGTATTACATGCTTTCTTCCAAATCATAGATCAAGATATTTTATTTATGTATGTCTTTTTAATGAAGAGTGGTTAGTTAAGATAGTCCTGATTATTGCACATAAACATTGCCTTTCACTAGATTATTGTTTGGGGGCAAATTTTAGACTATTGTTTTAAAAAAGAGTAGCTTAGTTTAATCCACCCTTTCATATATTTAGAAATTATTGAAATGTATTGTTTTGTAAAGATAGTCTTAAAAAAATTGTTGAGCTAGAAACATGTCCTTCACCAGTAGAATCCTTAGAAGATTTCCTTGGACTTCACTGGGTGGTAATAGACCATGATCATATTGCTCTGTATATAATGGTGTAAATTTTGTTTTATAACACTTAGTCTTAATAGATTGGGAATATTTTATCTTACCAATGTAGTCATTAGCTGGCCACTCTCTGTGTCCATTGGACCTTACGGAGTAAAGGGAGGGCAGTGTGTATTTGAAGCCTGTGTACGTGACACACAAAGGGCTTAGCAACATCCATGTTTTCCCAGCACAGGATACCCATACTTCCTGAATGTTTCATTGTTAAATTAGATTGTGTGTGTGTGTGTGTGTGTGTGTGGTTTATATGAACATACAGATGTATTTTAGGTGCATTTTTTTTTCTCTTTTTCTTTTATGTCAAGTGATGATAGAGCCTAGAAGGGAAGCGAAACTGTCCATGCCCTTGCCTTAACTTTCAAATCTGATAAAAACAACATTTATAAAATATCTGTCTTAGAAATATTAGCTAAAATTATATTGGGGAAAGTATGTTTGAAAATAGAATTGTAAGCTACTACATCGTGATAAATATTACTAAATGTGTTTATTGACTTGTCAGGAAGCAAGAGAATGAATTAAAGAAAACTCCAGAGAATGAGCTGACAACTTACTCCCTGGTCAGTGGCTCTCCATGCCTACCTGTGGTTTCTTGGACACCCTTGCAGGTATGTGGGCAGCGAACTGCACATGTATAGGAAACAGGCCTAGGATGGAAGGAGTTGATAGATACTGCTCTTCTTGAGTTTGATGACATTTGGTTCCAGTTAAATAGCATGAAAACCCATGTGATAGCCAGCTGAGGGTGGATACCGTTCTGGGGAATTAAAGGCGAGTGGTCACAACAGGTCTTCCTCGGCAATCTGAGCCCAAAACTGAATCTGCCTCCATAAGACCATTGTTTCAGCTCTTTATTTGTATGATTGATTCATCCAGTGGACTTTTAATTTCTTATGTCCAGATATTTTTTCATTTCATTTTTTGTGATACAAGCACCTTGTGGATTGCCTGTCATAGAACAGGTTCTCAATAAACTTTTATTGATAAAAAGATACATAAGTAGATTGTCTTGATAATTTTGTGAGTAACCTGACCAACTAAGCAGTAGAAAACAAATGATTTTAAAACAGAAAGAGACACAACTTTCAGTGGGGTTCAGGTGATCTAGTCGGGTCTGGAAATGCACCACAGAGAAGGTCCCTGATGCAGTGTGCTGACACTGAAATGTGTAGTTATGGACTAGATGGTTATGGTTTCAGAACTATGTTAATTAAATTAAATCAATATAAAAGAGTAGCAGAGAAGGAATTTCCAGATTCCAGCTGCATTGCTTGTTTCATTGGAAGTGGTGTTTCTCTTTTTTTCTTTTTTTTTTTTTCACCTCAGAAGATGACTTCCTGGGAACTCTTCTGAGAGTGAATGTTATCAGCAAATTCCCAAAACAACACCCCTTAGACAAAAAGCCTCCTCACCTATGCATTGCCTAGGCCACCCACTAAAGGTAAGGTGTTAGTTAAAATAGTCCTTGCTTTCTAGGAGAAGCCATGTCTTAGTAGAAATTGAGCTGTTAATTTTCTGAATATTGATGATGTTTAATTACATTCTAATTGATTCTGAGATTGCATAATATGTTAAGAGATGCAGCTTTTCTTAATATACCTTCGTGGCTTTTCTACATCTCAGTACATTTACTGTTAATATGAAGGATTTCCTTAACTTCTGTCATCTGATAAACTCAACTCCTTCATGGCTTGATCCCTTGTAATGCTAGAAAATTGTTGTACAAAGGAAACACAGTAGCTTCTCCATAACTGTTAGACTGGAAGGTTGACAAACTGGTCTGAAGTAACTGATCAAACAAATGAATGACCTAGAGCTTTAAGAAACCAGAGAGGAAGAGAGAGACACGAAACCCGAGGTTGTTGATGGCTGTTACTTTTTAGCCCAGCAAAAGGAGAAAAAGCAGCATCAGTATCTGGCATCCTTGACATCAGGAAGTTTTAGTGTCATTGTTTTGGCCTCATCATGGACTCAGGTGCTAGAAATGAGGTTTTCTCTGTGTACTGTGGGTATATTTGTTCTAGCACAAGTAGGGGGAAGATTAAAGAGGAATTTCATACCCCCATGACTCCTTAGGAAATGTGTTTCTCACCTTTGCCACTTTTCCCCACTGTGTCCTTGCAGGTGATGGCCACAAAGAGGTGGATTTGTTGAGTTGGTGCCATTCCTTCTACTGCCAGCTTCACCAAAACAATGATTCAGTCTTCCTTATGCATGGGGACTCTTCTCTTTCCTGTGTTGCAGTGGATACCTCCTGCAGATAAGAAATGCTTAACTGAGAAATGCTCATGTTGGGATATCATCGATGAGACTTTAATTGGGGCATGGTGACTGTTTCCCTTGCTGCCACTTGACTCAATCCCAGGAGCCTCAGTAGAGGATAAAATATTACACAAGATGCTCAAAATGGTGGAATTGCTCAGTGCTCCCATAAATATACATTTATAATTTTCATTTGCCACATGGTAAACTGAAAAATACAGAATATATTAAAAAGAAACTCTGCATGATTTTTTTCAAAAATTCAAAGCATATTTAAATAATATATAAATTAAATGCCCTCCTGTCTTCCAATTCTGTCCCTATAGTTTTCCTCTATTAAGTGAACTACATGCATTCTTTTAGTGGATAGATGCACACAAATACACAAGCTATTTTGGGGAAGGATCCAGGAGTGTGGCCATATTGTAACACATTTTTCTGCAAATTACCTCTTTCATTTAACAGCCCTCATTCAATGGCCTTTTTCTTTTTCAGTAATACATACACATCTGTGTCATTTGTTGAATGACGACATGCATGTTTTGTAGATGAAATATAATTAAATGTTTTAAGCATTTCTCACTCATAGATATTTATGTTAGCACCAAATTTCTGTGCAATGAACCTCCCTATATATCAATAATTTTGCATTTGTCTATAATATCATAATAAATTACTTATCAGTTGAATTACTGGGATTAAGTATGTGCACACTTCATATTTTGAAAATTATTGCAAGCTTGCCTTCAAAAATGTGGTTAACAACTTTATCCTCCAATGGCAATGAATGAGATTGCCAGCTTTCCTACAACCTCACAGACAATGGATTTTATAAATATTTAAAATTTTTGCCAATGTGATCACCCAAACTATTGTCTTAAATTGTATTTCTTTTGTTTTTGAGTTTGGTCATTTTTTCATGTTTGTTAGCCATCTGTATTTTTTAATTTCTTCTTTATGTCCAATTTTGTGGGTGGGAGGAGGATTTAGTCTCTTCCTGATTTCGAAGAGCTCATTTACTATTTTGGGAAATAAGATCTGGATTGTCAACCATTACAGCTATTTTTTACACACTTTTTAACTTTGTTTTTGTTATAAGAATGTGTATGATTGTTATATGTCCAAGTATAACCATGTTCGCTTTTATGGCTTCTGAGTTTCATGTCATTTTTGGAAAGATATATATACTGAGTCCATAAAACTCTTCACCTATGTTAAATTCTAATTCTTTTGTGTTTTTTTAATTCAAATTCTTAAATCATGAGAAATTTTTTTGTTTTGAAATCTTAAAGTTGCCAAGTTACTTGCCATTACTTGCGATTATTTGCCAATAATTGCCCATTTATCTGTACTGCCATCTTGCGCATATGCTGTACTCTCATCTGTGACTGGCTCCATTTTTGTTCTGTGGATTTGTGTGTCTCTTCTTCTGCCTCCTGTCTCATGTGTCTTCTTGTTGGAAGAAATTACAGTTTAGACTGCAATTTCATCAACTTTAATAAATCAATTGAGGGGAGAATGGTTTTTAAAAATATTAAGTTAAGTCTTCATATCCAAGGACAAGGTATGTCTTTTCGTATTCAATAATTTTAATTACTGTTAATATTTTCACTTTGGTGATGGGAGTTTTTCTTTTAATTTGCTTTCTTGTTCATTTTTTGTATCTGAAGTTTTTGTTTTGTTTTGTTTTGTTTTGGGGGTAAGTGGTCACCTTACTGTTTCTTGTTGCTTTTCAGATTTTTTCAAAGTATAGACTAAATCCTTTGCAAATATTTAAAGTTTTTATTTCCCCCCTTCATATTGATCCTGATTTTAGTTATGTTGACAAAGTCCACAGACTGTTACTATCAGAACACTTGAACAGTTATGGAAATATTACCCACCCTTGATTTAATCAGGGTTTAATGGTATGCTTCTTTGGTTTGACTGGCACATTGTTGCTGGTCATTTTCTCCCAAAGACCACCAGAAAGAGCTATGATCAAGCAAAGCTGAGTTTGTTAAACTTACCTGCAGCAAGGGAAAACACCACCTTGATAGGGTTTAATAATGTTTCAAAATCAAGAAAGGCTTTGGGGTCTGGGCAGGGAACTAATTAGAAATGGGCAAAATTTGTCATGCAATACTTTAAGATTGGTGGGAAAGTGAGATGAGGTTCTTAATGTGAGGATTGATGGTCAAATCATTTTCTAGGTGAGCTGTTTGCCTGTAGAAAGATGTTATCAATAATAGAAGAACTATTTGCCTAGATAAGCAAACTGAATTTATTTATTGGTTTACAGTTTTATCTTGCTGGGCAGGACTCTGCTGGGGGTGGTATCAGGTCTTATTCCCAATAGGTAAGTTATTTTGATGTGGGTGGTCTTAATCATCAATGTGTGAAATGCTGATTTTTAAGTGCGAAATACTTTGTCTACTATGTTAGGAAAGTCTCCCACCTTTTATATTTTCTAAGGAATTTTAATCAAAACCAGGTGGTAGATATAATCAAATTTTTTTTTTGCAGAATCTGTGTTACTGTTCTTTTTAAAGACTTTTATCACTATGAATTAATTTACTGTTATTGCAACTTCCTTTTATTCCTTGAATGAACAGACCCTACTGGTTTTAAAAATGTTTTATTCTTTTAATTTACTACTTAATCGTGGGTATTTTAATTTGATTTGGAATTTTTACAAGTATACAACTAAGTGAAATTGATCTGTGATTTTTCTTTTTTGTGCTATTTTTGTCATGTTTTGATATCAGATACTCTGATTGTGTTAATCATTTTGAGAATTTTCTTATACTGTGTTCTAGAGTGGGTGGAAAAGCTCACATCTCACTATCAGTGTTTAAGTGAACACATCAGTGAAATCATCTGGACTCTCCTTTGTTTTTGGTGGTTTGGAGTTAGAAGAGAGGCTATCTAGAAGTTTTTTTTTTTTTCTTTTCCTTTTTTTGTATGGTTATTGCTTGTTCTTTGTTTTGTGTCTTAAATTTAACCTGTGTTATCTTAGCAAATCACAGTTCATACAGATTTTCAAACACATTAGCATTAAGTGATACAGTGTTCTTTCATCATTCTATTACATTTCTCTTGTTTCAATTATGTATTCATTTTCATTCCAGTTATAGTTATTTCTGCCATGCCTTTGTTAATGAATAAGTTTAACTAGTGGATGTTTAGCATCACTAGCCTTCCCCTTCCCTCTCCCTCAATCAGGTCTTTGGTATAATTTATCAGGTATTTTTTAAGGTTCTAATTTACTTATATATATAGGTTCTATATTCTTTTATTTCTTTTCCTAATAAATTCTTAAACATGTGTAATACATTCATATTCACTTGTTCTTGGCAATGAAAGATTTACCCCACTGTGCATTTTATAAAACTTTTCATTATGAACACATTGTAAACATACAGTGTATAAGAAGAAGAGAACAGTGAACTAGCACATACAAGGAACTGGAACTGGTTCCATCATTATCAACATTTTGCCATATTTACTTTGTGTTAATTTTAAGTATTTTCAAATAAGAGAAATAATAACACTTCTTATTCTTCTATAAACATTTTTACAATTTTATTTTTAAATGTGTATGTATATACACTCATGCTTTTATACTATTCCATAACTTTTTAGCTTATGTAATATATAAATATTTTAATATTTCTGATTATTACATATCCATAGATGTGGAGCTTCCCTATTTTTAATGACTTATATTTTTCCATAAGTAAAATTTACATAGTTAAATGCATTGATATATAGTAATTGTATAATTCAGTAAGTTTTCTTAAAAGTAATTACTGTCCCATTCAGAAGACAGAATATTTTTATTACTTGAGAACCTACCCTACCGCCTCTTTACAACCAAGCACCTTCTCAAAAAAAAATGTGATTTCTACAATCACAGATAAGTTTTGCCTCTTTTGAAATTAATATAAATGGAATCACACTGTGTGTCTGTCTTCTTCCACTCATCATAATCATGTTGAGATTTATCCATGCTATTCCCTACATGAGCAGTTTTAAAAATTTTTTATAGTTGTAATATTTTTCTAAATGGTCATATTGCAGTCTATCTATTCTCTTGTTGATGGACACCTGAGTAGTTTCTAGATTTTAGCTGTTTTGAATGTTAGCAGACCTCTTATGTAAATACCTAAAAATTGAATTGTTTGATAAGACAGATTTTTGCTTAACTTACAGAAAACTGCTAGAGAGTCTTCTAAAGAAGTGGACAGTTTTCACACTCCCAACCAGTGATATGAGATTTTTAGTTGCTGTCCATTTTTGCCAACATTGGAAATTGTCAGTCTTATCTATTAACAGTCTTATCTATTTCAGTCTTATCTATTAATTGTCAGTCTTATCTCTTGGGTGTGAGCTGACATTTTGTTGTGACTTCAATTTGAAATTTGACAGCTTAAGAAGGCAACCAGTTTTTCATGAAGTTATCCAATTGTAAATCTTCTGTAGTAAAATTTGTGTATTTTTCCCAACTTTTAAATTACAATTTTGAAGTAATTTTGGACTTACAGGAAATTTGCAAAAATAGTAGAGTTCCTGTGTATTCTGTACCCAGCTTTCTGGATGTTAGCATTTTATATAATCATTATTATGACATTACATACAATGATTGAAATCAGGAAATTAATATAATACTATCAACCAATCTGCAGACTATATTTAGGTCTTTCCAGTTACCCTATTAATGTCCTTTTTATCTAGTCCAGGATCCAATTCAAGATCCCTTATTGCATTTATCTGGCATGTTTCCTTTGCCCTCTCTCCTAACTACAAATCTGGGAGAGTTGCCTCAGTCTTTCTTTGTATTTCATGAAGTTGACACATTTGAGAAATACTAAACCATAATTTTGTACCCTAGTCCTCAATTTGGATTTGTCTGATATTTTTTATTATTAGATTAAGGTTATGCACTTTTTTTTTTTTTTGAGACGGAGTCTCACTCTGTCGCCCAGGCTGGAGTGCAGTGGCCGGATCTCAGCTCACTGCAAGCTCCGCCCCCCGGGTTCACGCCATTCTCCTGCCTCAGCCTCCCGAGTAGCTGGGACTACAGGCGCCGCCACCACGCCCGGCTAGTTTTTTGTATTTTTAGTAGAGACGGGGTTTCACCGGGTTAGCCAGGACGGTCTCGATCTCCTGAACTCGTGATCCGCCCGTCTCGGCCTCCCAAAGTGCTGGGATTACAGGCTTGAGCCACCGCGCCCGGCCGGTTATGCACTTTTGACAAAAGATAACACAGCAGTAATGGTGTGCCCTTTTCAGTGGATTGTATCTGGGGTACATGATGTCAGTGTCTTATTTCTGCTGATATTAAATATCACTTGATTAAGGTAGTGTCTGCCAGGTTTATCCACTGCAAAGTTACTGTTTTCCTTTCTTTGTAATTCATATTTTGTGAGGAGATACTTTGAGACTATGCAAATATTTTATTTCATCTAATTTCAGTAGTAATTGAAGATTCTTGCCTACAGCAATTATGATCATGGTATAAACCTAGTGATGGTTTCTATTTCCATGATATTTTCTCTACGTATTAGAATTTGACTGTAAAGATCTGTCCTTCTTCCCCATTTATTTGTACTCAGTTGTTATTTTACATCAGTGTGGATTTGTGCATATCTTATTTTATGGATTGTTATATATTGCGATCATTATTTGTGTTTGATTTTCAATTTTTTTTTTCCTGGATTTGATCATTGGGAGCTCCTTTAAGTTGGCCCTGTGTTCTTTTAATATAACTCCATAATTTTTTGACCACTTCTTATTTTCTGGTATCACAAGATGTTCTAGGTTTGTCTTGTATTTTCCTTCCCCAAGCCTGTAATCAACCATTTCCTCAAGGAGTTCTAGTTCTTCATATTGCGAAATAGTGTTTAGAAACCAAGATCTTGTTATTAAGTGTATTCATTGCTAACAGGGTTTTATTGCTTCTAGGCCTAGAGCTCGGAGCTATGTGTCCATTTACACACACACACACACACACACCCCTATAATGTCTGTATCCATTTATCTATCTTAAATATATATACCAATAATATATAGAATACTATAGATAGTATATATCTATCTTTATTAAAAGAGTTCATACTGTTATGATTATAATCCATCATCATAACGTTCATTTTATTCTTTCCTCTTGGCTTATTTGTGATTTGTTTCTTCAACAGTGAGAAACCTACCTTTCATTATCTACAATATGTTTTGTTATTTCTTCAGTGCGGTATGTGCTTAAAGTAATTTCAGAATTTCTAAATTATACCCGTTTAAAAATGAAATCACTAACTACAGCACGGTATTTAAATATAGTTCTTTTTTCTTTATCCTTAACAGTGTTCGGTCAACATACTGTTTCTAAACGTATTTAGGTTAGTTATCTTTTTTTCCTATCCCCTGCAGTATGGTTACATTAATCATATAATCAGTCTGGTTTTTTTTTTTTTTTTTTACTGTTTATGTTCCATTTTGAGTTCCCTCACCTTTTGGATTAATTTAACTATATTTTGTATATGTGAAATATTACTGTGGTTCTAAAAATTAGGATTGTGAGAAATATCACTCCACCATCATCCCTGCTACAATGATTCTATTCCTCCCTTCTTTCCACCCCAATCTCACCCAACCCCTAGAGTTAACTAGTCTAATAGTTTCTGATTTATTTTTTCTCTTTTTTTTCTTGATCACAAGTGGGCAGATACATATATATTTTATTATATCCCCTTCCTTCTTACATGATTGGTGGCATACTATAGATTTTTTTTGCAATTTTCTTTTTCCACTTAATATGTCGTGGAAATCACTTCATGTGTATTCAAAGATATATTCCTCATTCTTTTATGCTTGGTATGGTTAACTCTGGATGCACCACAATTTATTCAACCCCTCAGCTCTATGAAAATTGTTTGCAATATGTGTAAAGTATCATACTACAAATAGTTTTACATTGGATTGTTTATTCCCTCTTCATTTGGAAGCGTTCTTTGTATTACTGGGACATACATTTCTTGTTCAATATATGTGTTGCAAAGGTTTCTTTCATTAAGTATCTTAGCCTGCCTGCCTTTCTTTCCATTTCCCTTCTTTTTCTTTTCTTTCTTCTCCTTTTAATGCTATTATGCTCTAAATTTTAAAATGGCCCAAATTTGCCAGTGGCTCATCCCTTATTGCTATTTATTCTCCCTTTCCTTTTGTCCCTCACTTCTTTTCCTTTAATTTAGGTGAAATTAACATAACGTAGCCATTTAGTGCATTCAAAATGTTTTGCAACTGCCATCCTTAACTAGTTGCAAAACATTTTCAGCACCCCAAAGACAACTCATACCCATTAAGCAATCAGTTCCAACTCTCCCTATCTTTTCATTTTTGTTTTTTGGAGTTTTTTTGAGACAAGGTCTCACTTTGCACCCAGTCTGGAGTGCAGCGGCACAATCATAGCTCACTGCAGCCTCAAACTCCTGGCCTCATGCAGTACTTCCACCTTAGCCTCCCGAGCAGCTAGGACTAGAGGCATATGTCCCTGCACCAGGCTAATTTATAAAAGAAAGTTTTTAGACACAGGGTCTTGCTATGTTGCCCAGGCTTGTGTCTTTTGATAAACAGATATTTAAAATTTTCAAGTCCAGTATATCAGTTTGAGTCTCTTGTTTTTAGTGCTTATTACTAACTTACTATTAAATCTTTGCTTCAAGTTTGCAAATAATAGTTTTCTAAGTTTTCTTCTGGAAGCTTTGGGACATAAATATAACTTGTATCTCAAATCATTTTCAAATGTAGTTGAAGTTACTTGTTTTCATGAATCTCCAGTTGTTCCAGAACCATTTGCTCAAAAGATTTTTCTTTTTCTACTGAATTATCTAATGCCATTGTTGAAAATAAATTGGCCATATACATATGGATCTTTTTTGAACTTTTTCCTTCTTTATGCCATTCTTTTTCACTGAAGTTTAATAGTAAATCTTGAGATTAAGTAGTGTGAGTCCAAAATTTTGTTATTTCAAGGCTTTGTAGAAGAAGGAGATGGCTACACTGGGTCCTTTGTATTTTCACTTAAATTTTAGAACTATCTTGTCAATTTCCTAAAAAACCCAGCTGAGAAATTGATTTTTATTACATCAAAACTATAGATAAATTTAGGAGGAATTGATATCTTAACAGAGAGTCTACAGTTCTCCATTTATTAGGTCATCTATAATTTCTTATAGATATCTTTTATAGTGTTTAGTATAGAAGCATACCTTGGGCCGGGCGTGGTGGCTCATGCATGTCATCCCAGCACTTTGGGAGGCCGAGGCGGGCAGATCACGAGGTCAGGAGATCAAGACCATCCTGGCTAACACGGTGAAACCCCATCTCTACTAAAAATACAAAAAATTAGCCTGGCATGTTGGCAGGCACCTGTAGTCCCAGCTACTCAGGAGGTTGAGGCAGGAGAATGGCGTGAACCTGGGAGGCGGAGCTTGCAGTGAGCTGAAATTGCACCACTGCACTCCAGCCTGGGCGACAGAGCGAGACTCCATCTGTTTTCAATATAGAAATATTATTAAAATTTAACGTTTAATAAATTAGATAAAATTAAATTGTTAAATTTATTTCATTTGTGGTTTTGATGCTATTGTAAATGAATATGTTTAAATTTTGTTTTTCAGTTTTTGTTACTATTACATGAAAACGGTAATATTTTCACATTGCAGATGCTTTTCAGTTGGGTTGTCTTCTTTTCAGTCTTAGGAGAAAATATTTAATTTCTTACCATTAAGAAGGATACTAGCTGTAATTTTTCTGCAGATGCCCATTACCAAATCGAGCAAGTTTTATTCTATTGCCAGTTTGCTGATAATTTTTATAATAAATATGTGATAAATTTACTGAATGTTTTTCTACGTTTATTAATATAATCATTTTTCCCCTTTGTTCTCTTATTATGGGAAACTGCATTGGTCAGCTTTTGGATGTTAGCCCAACATTGCATTCTTGATATAATCCAATTGGTCACTGTTATCCTTCTTGTATGTATTACTGTATTCAGTTTTCTACTAGTTATTTGAGAGTTTTTCACCTATGTCCGTGATGGCCATTAGCCTGTGATTTCCTTTTTAAAAATTATTTTTGTCAGATTTTAGCATTAGACTTAATAAAATATATTTAGTATAGTGCTCTGTTGCTAGTACACTTGACCCTTGAACAACGGACACGGGGATTAGGGATGCAGACTCCCCCCCATAGTTGACAATCTGTGGACCATTGTTTGCTCTCCAGAAACTTAACTACTAATAGCCTACTGTTGACTGAAAGTCTTACAGATAACATAGTCAATGAACACATATTTTTATGTTATATGCATTACATACTGTTTTCTCACAATAAACGAGAGATAAAATGTTATTAAGAGATATAAGGAAGAGAAAATAGATTTAGTATTCATTACCTGAAAGTGGATCATCATAAAGGTCTTCATTCTCATCACCTTCATGTTGAATAGGCTGAGGAGGAGGAAGAAGAGGAGGGGTTGTTCTTACTGTATTGGGGTGGCAGAAACAGCACACGGTGTAACTATGGAAATATAGTTTCTAGCTTTTTTGCTTTTTCATTTCTCTAAAGATGTTTCTATTTGGTACAGTCCTTCCACTGTTTACTTATTTGTAGTACCCATATCATAGAAGGAGCCATATTGTAAAGAAGTCAAACACAGACTTGAATAATTAGAAACCTTCTGCCACACTGTTTTTCTGGCACTACTTCTATGTCGTCCTCCTTATCATCTGGTACTGGTTCAGAAGCACTTGTCTCCATCACATCATCTTCTGTTAATTCCTCTGGTGTGTCGTCTATTAGCTCTTGAATTTCTCAAGGTCTGTATCTTGAAAGCCTTCACTCACCACCGTTTTTTCCATGTTCACTATCTCTTTCATGATTTCTTTGATTGGCTCTGTTGTAAATCCTGTCAAGTCATGCACAACATCTGGACACAGTTTCCTCCAGCAGGGGAGTCTGTTAGGTTGGGCTTGATGGCTTTCACAGCTTTTTGTATAACAATGATGGCATCTTCAGTGGTGTGATCCTTCCAGACTTTCATGATGTTCTATCAGGGTTCTCTTGCATAGTGTTGACAGTCCTTTCCATAAAGTACCGTGTGTAATGAGCCTTAATGGTCCTTATGACTCCCTGATCTAGAGGATGATTTAGAGATGTTATGTCTGGGGACAAATAGACCACTTTGACACCTTCAGTATTGAACTCATGGGGTCAGGGACATTGTCAAATCAAAAAGGAAAAAAAAAAAATCTTTAAAAGGCACTCACTCGCTGGCAAAGTACTTCTTGACATCAGGGTCAAAACATCAATGAAACCAATATAGAAAAAAAGAATTCTTATTGTCCAGGCCTTTTTGTTTTACAACCAAAAGACTGGCAGCTGGTGTTTTAACTTTTCCCTTCAAGGCTCAGGAGTTAGCAGCTTTATAGATAAGGTCAGTCCTGATCATAAACCTGATTACATTTGCACAAAACAGTAGAATTAGCCCATCCCTTCCTACCTTAAATCCTGGTGTTCACTTCTCTTCCTTACTAATAAATGTCCTTTCTGGCATTTTTCTGTTTTTGTTTCTGTTTTTGTTTTTCAGAGTGGGGCACTTTCATCTGTTTAAGAACCTGTTCAGGCAGATATCCTTTCTCCTCAATGGTTTTCTTAATGGCATCTGGGAACTGCTTCTCCTGCTTGACTGTTTTTAAGCCAAACCTCTTTCGAAAATTATCAAACCATCCTTTGCTGGCATTAAATACTCCAGATTTAGAACCTTCACCTTCCTTTTGTTTAGGTTGTCATCTAGTGACTTAACTTTTTCTCAAATCATCTTACACCTTAGAGGTATGCCTTACAGCAATCCTGTACCCACAGAAAAGATGCATTTTCAATAGATAAAAATGTATTTTGCAAAAGTGCAAGGTTTTCACACTGTTGGCACAGTTACAACAATGGCTTCATGAATTTCCTTTTCTTTGTGTTTTTAACAATGGTCCTCACACTGGATTTATTTATCTTGAAATGGCAAGTAGCCCCTGCTGCAGACCTCAATCTATGGTGCCTTTTATGCAATTAAACATTTTCTTGTAATGTCATGACTTTCTGCTGCTTCTTAGGAGTACTTCCAGTATCACCAGTGGCATTTCATATGGGTCCCATGGTGTTAAGGTTTATGGTATTACACAAGACACTATGAAAAGTAATATAAGAACTGAGAGCTTTTGTTTTACTGCCATATGCAATTTAGTGGAGGGAGAAACTGTTCACTGGCATGATTAGGGTCACATGGCATTTTAAGCAGATACAATTGAACTCCACACCATAGCAAAAAGGAGGTAACTACAACATTATTACAATAATGCTGGGTGTACTACAGCTAATTTTATGCAGTTAGGATTTAATACTACATATTTACATTTATTTATATTTCTCTCAAGTGCAAATGGCACCATGTAGGATGTATGAGTATGTGTCGGTAGGTTTTGATGAATTTTAACTTTTTATAATTTGTGTATATTTTATGGTAATAAATGATAAAAAGAGACTAGTATCTACATATATTTTATGCATTCATGACATACCTTTTTCTTAATTTTTTTGATATTTCTGGACTACACATTTGTTTTTTCAAATTGTCACAAATCTCCAAAAATGTATCCAATGTATTTATTGAAAAGCATTGAACAAGACAATTCAAACTTGTGTTGTTCAAAGGTCAAATTTCTTTTTGGAATGGTTGATAGAATTCATTAGTGAAATGATCTGGGCCTGGAGTTTCCTTCATGATATTTTAGTGAACAATTTCAATTTATTGAGTAATACAGGATTGAGAGTTTCTGTTTCATTTAATGGCAGCTTTAGTACTGTTTTTCAAAGAGTATAGTCCATTTTATCAGATTTTTCCAATTCGGTAGTATAAAGTTCATGATATTTCCTTATTACCCTTATACTGTCTGTAAGATCTCACCTTTCCACTTCTGATGTGGGTAATATTTTTTCTTAGATTACTCTTTTCAGGTTTTTTTTTTTTTTTTTTTTTTTTTACTAATTTTTCATTCGAAAGAATCAATCTTTGATTTGCTAATATTCTTTTTTTCTGTTTTATATATATTGATTTCTTAATCTTATCTGGCTTTTAATATGCTCTTTTTTTGATAGCTTCTTAATCTTGAGACTATTAAGTCTTTTATTATGGACCTTACTTATTTTCTAATATAACAATTTAAGGCTATAAGCACTACACTGATAGATTCCACAAACTTTGATATATTGTTTTAATTACCATTTAATTCAAATATTTTCTTACTTTGTGTTTTAATTAGATTTGTTAATTTAAATGGAGTATTTAATTTCCAAATATTTGGGGCTTTTCTGTGTAGCTTGTTACAACTTCTGTTTTAGTTTTGTTTTGGTTCTAAAAAGTTACT